TTCAAGCTCATGTGTCAAGGGCAAAGCTCTAAGTGAAAAAATAGCCAGTCCCATAAATAGACAAGTCTTATCAGTTTGGGAATGGTCATAGCAGCAGAGAAAACAATGCCCGTGTGGTGGGATCCGAGGCTGACCCCAATAATGCGATGTGTCTGACAGGAGAACAGGAAGCCCACCATACCTCTGTCTACTTGGATAAAGTCATAAAAATGATAAACACAGCTCTTAATTAGCCCTGGGCAGGACAATGCGTGGCAAACCGGAGCGAACTACGGGGCCAGGTTGGTGAAAGGTGTAGATATGAGTGACCACTGTGCCGTGAGGTGACTCCTTAGCTTGGGCCGGTGCTTCCCTTCTCGGGCTGTCTGTCAACCGTGCTAAATAAAGAAGTAGGGAATTAGATAAAGATTTAAACAATGGGTGAAGATGACCCAACTGAAGAGAGCGAGCTGGAAACAAGGAGAATTATGAAGGCCTGAACAACAAGGTAGCGATTATATCCAAATACAAATACTTTTTTTTAAATGGTGGTTATATCGAGTGGTATTTTGGTGTTGCTATTTCAAGCCAAGGCCAAGTCAACACAGGGTAATTCAAAAATAATGAACCTATTACAGTTTTGATCCAGTTTTCAAGCATGGCACTGGACTGAGTTGGTGATAATAATAGGAGTTTTCTAGGTTTTGAATGGCTGAAACAGAGAAACCTCATCGGAAAAGTTGGAAGGAAGGACCAAGACCAGGCTCTATGTCGTGTCAGGGGTATGAAACTCATTTCAGTCTGAGCCGAATGAAAAAAAAAAATAGGCCGGGACAACAGTGGGAAAAGAAGGCATGCTGTACAGTACATACACAGTGTCAAAATAAACTTTCAATACGTTTTCTAAATCTGCTAAACTCACAGCCCAGGACCACAGGGAATTACATTATAATGAACTATGGCAAGTTTTTCATCCATCTAGAGCAATATAAACATTTACATTTTCATAATTTTATAAGTTTTTAAGTAAGTAAGTAATCTTTTTTTAAATACCGCCTTTCACAGACCAGAGTCACAAAGGGTCTGTTATTTTTGGCCATTTGTCTGTCACTCCCATAGACTGTTTATATATTAACGGACAGAGTCACGCCTGTCTCCGCCGTTCTAACTAATGGGCCAAAAAATGTGCTCTACTGGAGCTATCCAAAATGGCCGCGAGTGGTCCCGCCCATAAGAAAATTGTGAAAAAACCCATCTGCGCATGCGTCAGCCAGCGCAGCTCCATTCATTTGAACGAGAGACTTCAAAAATTCACAGCGAGTAAACTAGAGTGGACCAAATAAATTCACCCCCCTCAGCATTGACACACATGTGGAACGGAGCTTTGGGCCAAGAGCCAACTTTTGGTCCATCCTGTAAAGACGTTTTCGAGAGGTCTGCCAATGCTATATGTTAGCATTGGTTAATTCTTCTTCTGGGTCCACCCCCATTGGCCCGGGGTGGTATTGTAAGAATGTCAGCGCACATCATTTTGGCCACTTTTGAGCCAGGACCCTCCCCCACTGGTCACTCCACACAGAGATGGGAGCAGGGTCGCCAGTACAGGAGGCACATGCCAGACCTATTGTACATGTTTTTAGTGGTAGGGGAAACCGGAGCACCCGGAGGAAACCTACGCAGACACAGGAAGAATAAGCAAACTCCACTCAGAAAGACCCTGTTCCGACCAGGATTCGAACCCAGGATCTTCTAGCTGAGAAGCGAGAGTGCTATCCACTCAGCCACCGTGCCGCCAAGAATAGAGCAGCATATGCAAAAACGTAGATGGCTAAAGCTTCACTCTTGTTACATGGCAAAATATTGTCCCTTGTGTGACGTGTAGTTTTATAACCTTTGTCACCCATACCCACATGTAAGCAACGGGCTATAAAACAGTTAGGTTTGGGAAAAACACCCACCAGCCCGAGCTTTTATTTGGTGGGAACTCGTGAGGGGCCATTATTTTACAGTTCGACATCATCAAATGTCATTTTGTTGTTGTTGGAATTTGTCACAAGATCACATTTAAATTCTTTTACAATCACGGCTGTAAGAACATATATATCTCTCCGACAAACTATTAGTTAAACTTTAATAATACGTACACAATGAAATACTGCCTGTGTGACTTGAGAAAATCGCATGAGATATTCTCAGGAAAACCACTGATTATTTTACTGGTTGTTTCCGTTTTATTGTTGGCTGACCCCTGGCATGGCTCACACCCTGGGGTCGCCTCAAGTTGTGGTAAGACCTCTCCAAACATCCTCCCGCTAGCATGGCATAAAACATATTTACCATTTGAGTTGGAAGCGCTCTGGTGCAACTAGACAAGACGGATGTGCTCATCTCTAAACTGTGACTCTCAAACAAACATTATAACCGCTTTATCACTGGACTCATCGGGTTATCGGGGTCGGGGTGGTGCCGTTTGGGGGTACAGGGTCAGAAAATATTACAATGTCCCAGTGCGCTCACACAGCTCAGAGTCCCACCTGATTGCCAACAGATCCTTGACAGATTAACGCCTTGGAACAATGAGAGGAGCGAGGAGACATGCTTCCTCTGAGTCCGCCACACATTGCATCCCTCTGCTGTCCTTTTCATCGGCTTGTTGTGTGTGCTCCCGGGTGAGGAAACTTTCCCAGCATTCCCCTGGGGCAGAGAAAAACACATTCAAGCACCTGCGAATCCATGTGACCTCTGCTGCTGCTCATTTTTGTCTCATTTCAAATCCCTTAATTCAAGCAGTCTTGAAAAAAACACAGACTTTCACATCCCACGTCAAAACCTCATCTGACGACCTTAACCTTTGAATGATCTCTCATATCTGCAAATCTTGTCATGGGGTGATTTTTGGGCTCACCAATTAGAGAACGTTATGACTGTGTTGTGACATATAGCTGCTTTATGTAGTTGACTTGTGATTGGCAGCTCAGAGCAGAAGGAAATATTGTTTAAATTCCAACAATACAGGAATATGTTCGAGAAGGTGTGATTTCTATTTACAGAATCAATACTGTATATGCTCCTCTGTTGTTTTCTTTCTGTTATACACTCCCTCTTTAACTTGAGCACCCCCCCTCCTTTCCTCCCCATCCTGCTATTCCACTTCCCCCACTCGGAGCAGGTGTTGGAGGAAGTCATCTAATCAGACAATCTCCATACTGACTATCTCTCTCTAGATAATGGCAGATGTCTGAGCTGTTCTGGTTTCTTCAACAATAATTGAAGATACTATGAAAATATTATATCAAAGTCATGTTCTTTGTGAGTATTCTTTGCGTTGCCTTGTGTAGGAAAGGCGCTCTACAAATAAACGTTGATTGATTGATTGATATCACCCAACACCAACGAAGTAACTTTATTCGTTCCACAATGGGAAAATTTCAGTTTGATGCATACACACTCATACATATACACATCAAGGCAAGCAGCGAACGTCACTTCCAAGCTCCTTATAGGCAAAGTGGGTTAAGTGTCTTGCCCAAGGACACAACGAGAGCAGACATCAGTGGGAGTCGGTGGAGAAGGTCTCATGGTGGGCTTGAACCCACGACCTTAGGGTTAGGGTTAGGGTTAGGGCGGCACGGTGGCTGAGTGGATAGCACTCTCGCCTCTCAGCAAGAAGGTCCTGGGTTCGAATCCCGGCCGGACCAGGGCCTTTCTGAGTGGAGTTTGCATGTTCTCCCCGTGTCTGCGTAGGTTTCCTCCGGGTACTCCGGTTTCCCCTACCACTAAAAATATGTCCAATAGTTCTAGCATGCGCCTCCTGTACTGGCGACCCCGCTCCCATCTCTGTGTGGAGTGAGAGACAAATGCCCAAAATTAACAATTGTAAACCGCTTTGAGACTCAGATCTGCAGTGAAAAGGCGGTATATAAATACAAACTTACTAACTTACTTACTTACCTTCTGGCCAATACTCTACCAACTGAGCCACTGCCACTGCCACAGCCTGCCGTTGGGAATAAAGAAGAAATTCCATCATGAACTACAATGTTGAATCATAGTTTTAAATTGGTCTGAATTTACAGCTTTAACAATATTTTGTAATAATAATAACATTCTAGAAGTATTAAAGCTTAAAGTTTTAGCCTTAAGGCCCATTTTTAAATAATCTCCGATTCCACTCTATTCTGCTTTTGAGTACATACAACTTATGAAGCTGATATGTAGTTTTGGCCTCTTGTGATTACTTCTAATTATGAGTGGTAACAAGATCTTAATCGAGTATCATCATAAATATAAATATATAAAAATAGTCTGGAGGGATCATGGACGGTAGAATGACGAGCTGTTGGACCTGAACCCAATTTTACACAATATACGATACGGGATTGTAACAAAGTCTATGAAGTAGAACAAGAGGTTGAAGATTAATATGAGTTGTGATTCAAAGTTTACACCTCCAGCCACAGACTGTTTCAAAATTTACTATTTACAGAAACTGGAGTGGTTTTTCCAGAATGGTTAACTTTACCACCAGAGATGATAGAGAACCTCATCCATTATTTGACTAGTTTCTGTAGTCATTATAATTTGAAAATTGAAACCCTATTTGTATGACAATAAAAGGCTTCACACAACCTCTGTGATTTTCTTTTTTTGTTGCAGTGAATGGCATATATAATGTCCAAAATATGGCCCAAAGACAAGCTGCCACAGTGTGTAACCTCTTAGTTAGTGTGTAACCGCACTAGTAATACATGTTGATGATGCAAATCTTGTTTTTCCTGGGAGACAAATTGTATGAAAAAGTAATTTTGACATGGTGGCTTGTATGAGCCAATGTGGCAAGCTGTGTTACACTTGTTGCTGGTGATAATTACTCATTGGATATATTGTTTGAACTTGCACACTTGGCCTTGTGTGGCTGTGTCAGGCTGGGGCCCTTGCAGTCAGAGGGGCATGTGCGATCAGAGGCCAGTGCTAACATATATATGCCTTCCGTCCTTGTGATTTAAACTAACACCAGCGCCTCACAGCTCGGCACAACGGAGCCAGCCAACGCATTGTGCGATTCCCAAGAATGCCCCCAACAGACGAATCGAGAGCGAGACTGGCGGCCCGTAGCCTTTCTCCACTGGCTCGTACAAGGCGGACACTCCGTGCTTCTGCGCCAAGGACAGGAAGTGCTCACAGAGGGACAGGAAGTGCTCACCGCTGCAGTAGCCGTGGCTGGAACTGAGATAATGCCATTGTGTAAGCAAGCCAAGTGACCTCTCCCTGAGCGCCGAGTCCACAGGCTGGCGTCGGGAGCCCGGGCCCCCACCCAGCTCTAGACTCCCAAGGCACGGGGCGGGGGTCCTGCAGAAGGGACAGGCCGGAGGGGAGGGGATGTCAGCCTGTCACCTCCTCCCCTCCGCTGGGTCCACTCTACACCTCACCTTATAGCGGAAATGTGGCCAAGACTCCAGACTTTATGACTTCTTCCATCAAAAGCCAGGCTTCAAGAGACAGAGGCAGAGGCAACTCAGGCCCGGTCAAGCTCACGCCCTGAAACACACTCACACACACAGCCAGGAGATTAGGGGAACACCGTATCAGGTTATCAGCTGTGAAACATGATGACAGTATTATAGTCCAGATCCTGTGCAGTCTTGGCCCGGACCACCATCCACCACACATGGCTCCAGCCCACAAGGGTGTCCACTGAAGTCCCAGAGGGTCCTTCGTGTTCCCATAATTCTGTCAGCTCTTTTAGTCACGTCAAAATAAAGTAGTGTTCATACTGCAGAGTGATCCACAAGGAAAAAAGATGGAGCTGACAGGTTCAGGTCTGCGGCCTCTGATAAGAGCCGCTCATATTTGGATTTGTGACCATAAACAGAGGCTTTATTCACTCCCATAAACACGTCATGTCTTATGGTACACAATTCACATGTACTGTTTTTGCTTCTGTCCCGTGCAACAATGACCTTAGGACCGACCATTTCAGCTAATACTAACGTTTGCGCAAAATTGATTACTTTAGCCTGATTTGTATATTTCTGTGGTGCTAAACCTGTGTGAACCACAATCCTAATGTAAATTGTCATTTTAAATATTTAATTTTATTGTTTTATATGTGAATTTGAATGTGTTATCATGCAAAAGATGGTGGCACGTTCAATAATTCATGTATGAATATGTAATGCACCTTACTTTTTTCCTTTTCCTGATTGTAGATTTAAATTATATTTGTTTCCTCCATTAAATCTAAGGCTTCTTTGTAACTGCTGAAATACTATCATGATTTATTTGTATACAGTTTACAGCAAGATCAGAGAGATGTTGAATGGAGTATTATTAACTAACCATATAATAATGATACAGCGAGTTATACAGTAGGTAAAAATGTTTTGTGTTGTCCCCAAGTGTCATTGGTGTGTGGTTCAAATGTTTTTATTTCCACTTCCAGGCATTAGGGATTTAACTGTAATTCTTCAATTTGACCGAAACCAAAAGCAACATGGCCGTGTGTAAATGTGATGCTCATCTCAAACCATCTGACCAATTAACACCAATTATAACCCCATTATCTATAAACAGAGCATTTGGGATTTGAATATAATCCCAGGGATGGTGTTTTCCTTGTTGGCACATTGGGCCAGTGTGTGAGCACAGATTCACTTGTCTCTGCGTGTGTCCTCAGAAGGTCCCCCACACACAGGGACGCGGAGGGCGGTCTACACTCAACTTTACACCTTTCCAGTAGTGGGAACTCCCCCTGCGCTCTGATTGGCTCTCAGGGAGTTTATAGCGCTCCAACAACGAGACTCTGCCGTGAGTGTGCATGCTGCATCTCTGTCTCCGAGCGCACAAGTGGCTGATGGATGTGAGGCTGTTGCTTTCGTTCGACTTTAAAAACAAGGAGACTTTCCACTGACACTTGCCCTGAACACGTGACTAGAGCAGTGCGCAGAGGAGACCAGACTGTCCCAAACTCACAGCTGCTGGACAGAGATGAGCAGTCCTGATGCGGGGTACGCCAGCGACGATCAAACCCAGGCAAGGTGCGCGATGTCAGTCATGATGCCTGGAATGGGACACTGTCAGTGGGCTGACCCTCTCAGTCCTCTCGGGGACGCCAAAGTTAAAAGTGAGCCGTGCGCGTCTGCTTCAAGCGCTCAGAACCGAGGAGGAAAGAGCGAACCTCGGATTCGGAGGCCCATGAACGCATTTATGGTGTGGGCCAAAGATGAGAGGAAGAGACTTGCGCAGCAAAACCCAGACCTGCATAACGCAGAGCTCAGCAAAATGTTGGGTAAGCATGTTATATTTATCATTGTCCAAACATATGTCAATAACTCATACATATGTCATAATGTCGTTTTTTTTTAAGTGAAGCAGAATGTTTTCATCCTTTTTATGATCTTTTCCTCATCCTCTGCCAATATGATAACATCATAATAAATGACCTGCTTCTCACAATCGTGCAAAGTTTGTTAAACTTAACCAAGAGACAAACTGTTACCCTCAAAAACCTATCTATGCTCCCTACAAGGCAACAGGCTATTTTAGTGAGCATCAGCAGACCTCCAGTGTTCAGTATTGGCTGGCGTACTGATGCGTACTTTTCTTTTGACCCACAGGGAAGTCATGGAAGGCCCTTCCTGTGACAGAGAAGCAGCCGTTTGTAGAGGAGGCCGAGCGCCTGAGGGTGCAGCACATGCAGGATCACCCCAACTACAAGTACCGGCCGCGCAGGCGAAAACAAGTCAAGAGGATAAAGAGGCTGGACTCTGGCTTTCTGGTGCACGGACCCCCAGAGCACCAAGGACTGTCAGGGGATGGCCGTGTGTGTGTGGAAGGACTAGGCCTGGGCTACCACGAGCACAACTTCCAGCTTCCACCTCAAGCCATGGGCCACTACAGAGAGTCTCAGGCCTACGAGAGCTACAGCCTGCCCACTCCAGACACCTCTCCCCTGGACGCTGTCGAGCCTGACTCCATGTTCTTCTCTGCACACTCGCAGGACGACTGCCACATGATGCCCTATGCTTACCACTCCCAGGGGTCTGAGTACCTGCCACAGGACTCTCACTCAGGTCATCTCCCCAACCCCAATTTCCCCCGGCACTCCTCTGGTCAGGAGGGCCAACAGGGCTCTGTACCCCCAGCCCTCCCTCCTTCTTACATTGGATGCCCCAACCCTTTGGCCATGTATTACAGTCAGCCCAGCCACCCAAAGCGGCACCCAGCAGCAGGACAGCTCTCCCCCCCTCCAGACCCCCACTCGGCAGAGACCGTGGAGCACATGCCTCACTCTGAGCTGCTGTCCGAGGTGGACCGCAGTGAGTTTGAGCAGTACTTGAGCTCGTCTGTGGCGGCGCGTGCAGACATGACAGGCCTGCCCTACGCGCCACACGACTCTGGAATGCAAGGACCAGAGAGCCTCACATCATCAGTTCTGTCAGACGCCACCACAGCTGTGTATTACTGTAGCTACAACAACTCCTAACCTCCGCAGTCTGCCGCACGGACACTTGATCTGACCTCAAATCTCTGTAGCTGCATTTGAACAAAAATATCCCTTTATTTTTGTAATTGTTTTCTTACCAGTTCCACTGAAGGCCGCTGAGATTTTCCATGGAGCTTTGGACAAGACTGATGTACTTGATGTATGTAAAACAGCCATATGACTCTCATGCAGGGAAGTGATTTATGATCATGAAAATTGTCACTATTTTTAAGTTTATATAAAAATGTTTTTTATACTTTTGCACTTTTGTGAAATAAAATGTTCAAAGAAGACATCATTTGTAGCCATTGATTTTAAGAAGAGTATTTTGCATTACTTTTTTGCAAGCTTTCAAAATCTCTCAGTCGTTCTCTTCTAACATCATACTTACCCTGGTCACATAAAGTCACCTTCTTGACTTTTTCAGAATATCTGGCTGTGTTACTCATGGCGCCGCGTTCTCAGTGTGCGAAAGGGCAGTTTATGCTCCGGACATCCTGCTCCTTCAGATTTTTGGCTCCTTGGATTAATAGAAGTGTAATTAAAAAGAAAACAAATATGAAAAGATAATCTTTATAAGAATGCTGTATTCTTATAAAGATTATCTGTTGTAAGTGTTCATATTCTTGGAAGACATTATAATTAAATCTAAATGTAAAATTATATAGATATTTCTCCAAACATAAAGGCGATATGCGTTTAGTCCCAGGGTTCCCCGTTTTATAAATAGACTTTTTTTTCCCTATTTTTAAAGGAAGTGGTGCTTCTTGTGGGTCAATCACAGTGACCTCCCGTCTACATTTAGCATGTCAGAGGAAACATGCCTCACATACAGGTTTATACATGATTGTTTCGTCAAAGTGGTGGAGGTAAATAAATGCAGGGTCTTCCCACACTTAGCCTATTGTGATGTCATCTGTCTGATCATTGGGTGGTCATAGAGTGCTTCACCCATCACGTTCTCTGTGGTCCCTTCAGGTCGTGTGCTATAGAGCCCACTGTAATTGGTGTGAGTGTGTTTAGATGGAGTCTGCGGCTGGTGATGACTTGATCCCCTCTGTTATTCCAGCTAATGGGAGCATAACAAAAGCTCAGGTCGGAGTCCCAGAGCTTTAGGGCAGTGGGTGGGGGTCACCTGTACGGCCTTGTCTCTGCCGTATGCAGATGGTGATAACAAGGAAGAGCAATCTAAGGTTTTATCTGAGCACACAGGAAGAGACTTGGACAAAGATTTAAGTCAAGAGCTGGGAGACCAAAACATGTTTCCTTGTAGCCGGCTGGCCCTAAAGTAGAGACCAGGGTCCAATACAGTAAAGCAGACGCACTAATATTTAGGTCTGTATCTTCATTCAATGTGATATTGTGTTGTATAATTATTATTCAGTCAAATTGTAGCAAAAGAAAATAATGCAGGGGGAGTGAAGAACCAATATTCAAAAGTTGTGACATACATCTAATTGTAAATTCAGTTGAAAGCAATTTTGTAAAACCAGAGACCCAATATTTTAACAATAGCCTCTCACCGGACCAAATTGTGTTGTTATGCCCAACAAGCTGGAGTGATTATTAGAATTACTATTATTGCATTTCTATGGCACGTGCTAACATGGGTTATTATATTATATTAGATGTCTTTTAACTGGTGACTGGTCTTTGTTGCATTCACTGAATTCATTCTGATTTATTTAATTATAGAGTACCTTGTTTACATGGATCAGGCTTGTGTATAGCACGATGGTCATCTTTGCTGTTTTAAAAGTGCGTTTTAAATAAAGTTATTATTATTTATTTATTTTTAATGTAGACCCCTTTTAATATTAAGTTAATATCATAACCAGAACCTAAACTATAGCACACTATAAGCTTTATCTAATTAGCACAGACATATATAGAGATATCTCACGTGACGTCACGATGCCTCGAACTCGCGGGGCATCCGCCATACTGGAGGACAAGCAAACGCTGTATGATAGTGGCGTGCACCCGGGACCGCATAAACATGTTCAACATTTTTGCCGTTTTTGGCTGCAGCAAAAGGAGAGACAGGGAAAATAAGTTGTGTTACCGACTGCCAGCCGTCCTTACTTCACACGGCTCAAAAACAGAAGACATCTCAAAGAAACGAGAGAGAAATGGCACAACCATACGCAACAACAAAAAACTAATAGCCCCCAGAGCGCCCGAATATGGATCATTTCATTTCTGCTAAGTGAAATCAATTTGATGGCGGATTTAGTGTTATTCCAAAACAAACAGAAGTTTAAGGATAAAACATATCTGTCTGACTGCAACGTGGGGTTGCTCCGTAGACTGTAGCTTAGCTTGTAGCAGAGCTGTTATATATTTGGTCTCACACAGGACCTCACCCGGTTCACAGGGTATCTGACTTACCGAAGGCCAGCAGACATGTGAACGACTGAGCCGTGCTCGAGGGTGCCCCGTACTAGTATTTATTAATAAAATATACGGCTCCTCACAGTAGACGCAGAAAGCTCCATTGATTTGAATGTAATCTCATTATTTCCACTGCAGTGTAGCCACACATAGATCAATGGTGTAACAATAAACACATTAAATGTTAATCGGAGAATACATTATACATATACATTCTTAATACACGTGCACAGAGGTTTTCAGAATTTTCTGTTCACGTTTTCATGAAAAAACACTGTTTTAATGCGACAATATGCGGCCGCGGTAAACCTGGATGTAACGAATACATTTTAGGATGCATTTTCAGAGGATCTGATTCATGAATTTAGGTTGAGTATATATTTGGGTCACTAACTGCAGAAGTTTCAAATTCTCTGTTCAGTTTTCATGTAGTTCGAGAGAGTTCTAGTTTTGAACGTCCAGTTATAGATAGCTAGCAGGGCTGTTACTCGCCGAGGTTGTCCTCCAGTATGGCTGCCGTGGCTGCTAGTCACGTGACCGTAGGATCCCTCTATAAGAACAAGAGCAGCTGTCAACAGGCCTCAGCAGATTTTACAACAGCAGAATTCTCCAAAATGTGTTAGCATCAGGTTAGTGTTAGCATCAGGTAAGCGTTAGCATCAGGTAAGCGTTAGCATCAGGTTAGCGTTAGCATCAGGTTAGCGTTAGCATCAGGTTAGTGTTAGCATCAGGTTAGTGTTAGCATCAGGTAAGCGTTAGCATCAGGTTAGCGTTAGCATCAGGTTAGCGTTAGCATCAGGTTAGTGTTAGCATCAGGTTAGTGTTAGCATCAGGTTAGTGTTAGCATCAGGTAAGCGTTAGCATCAGGTTAGCGTTAGCATCAGGTTAGCGTTAGCATCAGGTTAGTGTTAGCATCAGGTTAGTGTTAGCATCAGTTTAGTGTTAGCATCAGGTTAGTGTTAGCATCAGGTTAGCGTTAGCATCAGGTTAGCGTTAGCATCAGGTTAGTGTTAGCATCAGGTTAGTGTTAGCATCAGGTTAGCGTTAGCATCAGGTTAGTGTTAGCATCAGGTTAGCGTTAGCATCAGGTTAGCGTTAGCATCAGGTTAGTGTTAGCATCAGGTTAGCGTTAGCATCAGGTTAGCGTTAGCATCAGGTTAGCGTTAGCATCAGGTTAGCGTTAGCATCAGGTTAGTGTTAGCATCAGGTTAGCGTTAGCATCAGGTTAGCGTTAGCATCAGGTTAGCGTTAGCATCAGGTTAGCGTTAGCCTGATTAACACGAGTCTGGAGCACAGGTCGATATTATTTCATAACATATAAATAATTTGTTTCTATGGTCTGAATGGATAGAATTAGCACTTATATTATCCATTAGTGTTTCAGTTTTTCTCACCTGTGCTTCCAGATGAAGTGGAAACGAGGAAACACCAGGTCTTGGAACCTCTTCAGATGGTACCAAACTCCTGCACATTCATGATTTCTTTTTGTCTTATATTCTATGAACAAGTACTGAGTCACTCCTAGTTGAAATTAAAATAGCATGTTAGATCTACTTTTGTCTTTAACATATACAACATTTATATAACAAGTTTTGTCCCACCAATTAGAGACTGTAATTGTTGGGACAAAACTTATTGTTATATACATTTTATCTGTTTGCACCAATAAAGAAGCAGTTTGTGAAACCAGTTAAAAAAAATATGTTGAAATTTATATTTCCAAAAAAGTAGTTTGGACTTATGGTTGGTAACCTCCATGAATGTATTGTATTATCGATAACATCACAGTTCTGTCAGTAAGTAAAATATGTGTTTTGTAATATAACATAAAAACAAGGAGCGTACAATTAAATTAATTTTGTAACAAAATCTGAAATAGTTTACCTTGTACACTGTTTTTTATTTGTATTTCATTTGAACCTTATTTAACCAGGAAAGTCCCATTGAGATTTTTCAAGGGAGTCCTGGGCAGTCCTTTACTGCCTTGTCCTTGTAGTGTACCAAAAACTTTGTTTTAAGTGATGTGTTGACTTGTTGAATGAAACCTCCTCTTAAATCAATCATCATGTATTTTTTTTTTCCAGAACAGGACACAGACGTTGAAGAGCCTGGTCCAGTTGAAGCCTCGCAGGACTTGAAGGTAGGTTGTGAGCCTGATTAAGTCATTGATAGGAGATTGTGCTGCAGGCCGCAGGACAGCTGCAGGAGAGGGTGTGGCCTTTGTCTCTGCTCTCATAATCCTGGCCATATGCTGTCCCTCTCTGATCTGACTGACGTCTTTTATGGTCTCAGCCTGTCACACCACGAGCTCCACCAGCGCCATCCAGTTGTGCTCCCACTCGCCTATATATAGTTTCCAATCTTCCCTCTCACTCATTTCACTGTTTTCCTTGGCACATTCGGAAAAAAATCTGTGAAACATAAAATTGAACAGGTCTTACTTTTAATGCTGAAGCACCTTGATGTGTTAAAACACACATTCACGATCTTTACAGCACTTCCATATGGCGACAACAACTCTATAGATGTTCATTTTCTCTGCCTTTACCGCTGGTGCATTGTTTGGATCCGTGTTCTCCAACCTGGGGGCCGCAAAGTCGCCCATTATATTTCCACTCGTTATTATGTTATGGCAGGCATTGAAAGTAAGAGTTTGGGCTCTTATGGAATGTTATACATTGTTTTAAAGCCTAGTTTTATGTACTATATAACACAATTGAAAATAATAATAATAATAATATTAATAATTATGAGCCAGTTTGGAAAAAACTAACAATCTTTACTTTGAGAACCATTTCAGCAAAATCTGTTCTTGCTCCCATTGTTTGTCCAAGACACATTTCTCTGTCAAGAGACAATAAAGACTAATCTAGCCTAATCTTAATCTAAAACTCCTAAAATTCCTATGTTAAAAGAAAGAAAAGAAAACAGCGATAAACAAACTTTCCACAAAGAAACAATGACTCAAAATCTACACTACAATAACCGTATGCTCAACTTTCACGTGCAGTTAATGGTTTCACTAACAACAAGAAAATAAATGTAAAGTTTGTGGATTTTGAACGGTCCTCGTATCCTCATGTGTAAAAAACTTCAGCGTGAGTTGGAGTGGGACCGAGTTTAGAGCAGCCGGGACATGAGCCGCTGTGAGCGAGATGTCATTCACGTCCCACAGACTGCACTGGAATATTAGCACCACTTCCTTCTTCCTCCTGGACAAACTCATATCGCCAAAGCTGGACACTTAGGTAAGAGGGAGGCGGCAGTTGAATAAGAAACAGTATTAAATTAAACAGTTATTAAATAGTATTTTAACTGTAGATCATGAGAAGCATTTAATAATTAAAATCATATTGTGTTGTATGTGTGTGTGAGCAACTAGTAGGAAAATTATTTTTTACAAATTGTCATCTACAATCTATGGTGTTTATAAAAAACAATTATTACCATCTATTTGTTTCTATAATTATTATTATTAATTTTATTATCACCGCTGCCAGGGGTAATGTAATCACCACGGTTTGTTAGTTTGTCTGTTGTATATTTAAAAATATTATTATGTGTTATAAATTATTGGCAATTTTCACAAACATTTCAGAAAAAGACAAGGAACAAAAGATCAGCTTTTGGGGGTAGTCTGGATCACCCTCTTGATCCAGATTTTTTAAAGATTTTTAAAATGGATATTGACACAAGAAGGGTACACTAAAAACAGCAGGGAGTAACAATGCCCCATCTATGCTGCCGACGGGCACAGAAACGTTTGGGAACCACTGGTGTAGATAAGAAATCTTGGGAGTGGTCTGTGCTCTGCAAGTGTTTTTGTAATTATTATCAATACGACTCGATGCATACACCGCTGAACTTACCCTGTCTGTATCACTTTGTTTTTAATTATGTATGTCTGTGTATGTGGTTTCATATCTATTTTTTAATACACATTTTGATTGTTCGTGGACAATGTATTTTTGCATCACATGTAAATAATCTAATCTAGTCCAACTTTTTTTGTAGAACAATCGCCAAAACTCCTTAACACACATATCAAATTAGAACTGTGTATAAACCAGTGATGCGGATTACTTTGCTATTCTCCCTACTATCATGCGTCTCTAAATGCAGCATTACAGACTGATGTTCCTGAAAGAATTTTTTAGGCATATGTATTCATGCCTCTATATATTTTTTTATTTTTTTATAACTTGTTTGCACCATTTACCAAAGCAAATTTTGAGCTTTTGGCTTCCTGTTTCTCACAAAGGCAAAAAAGAAACTGATTCAAATTCCTTTTTCTGATTTCTTACTGTTTCTATCCATTGAAACTAATGGTTTTTTTGTCTGTATAACTCAAAACACATTTAAAAAGTAAAACATACTTGTTTTGCTTCTGTACAGGGTCTACTGTCTTGCAGAGCGACACAATTAGACGGCCGCTGTACTAAGTGATGCACTGTTGAACTCTCCTGACAACTGTAGTGTCCTGTTTTGTTTCTTTTTGCAGATTTTAGTGCTGTCCACAGAGCACCTGTCTGCATTTCCTCCAGAGCCAGCTCCTGTTTGCTCCATCCATGAAAGATTGGCTGGGAACATCCTCTGTCCGGGGGAAGTGGTCTTTGTGAATCTCACACCACTTTGGACCATTTTTGGACCACGGGTAAACATCAAACTGCATCTAAACAGTGTCTAAAACAGGGGGACAGGGCTCGAGGGGCATTGGAGAAGAGACTGCTTTAGCATTTGATCCGAGCCACTAAATAAACGTAACTATAAAACATTTAGTAAATTTTACTTGTGTCGAAGGCGGTCGTAGAACAATGTCTAGACAGTGTTTGATATTTTTCATTCAATAAACACAGTCTGTCTGAGAGCTGTCTGTAGCAGAGGAAGTCTATTTGCGCGTTTGTTATTAGATTATGAACTTCAAACAAATATCAAAAACCTTTTCAATGCAATAACAAACAGTGAAAGGCCGCCGATGTGCTCCTGTCCCCTCTTTGGGGCTGTCAGCTTCCACATTCAGCTGCTGCTATTTGGCCTTTCCTTGTCCAATTTAGATTACTTGAATCTTTAGTCTGCTTTGGAGTGGGGAAAAAGTAGTCTGTAGTAACTTATGTAACCACCAGGGGTCAGCTCTGCACAGGAAACACTGCTTCAGTATCTCCGCAGGTCCATGACACGGCTTTGATTATGGCAAGTTTATTTGTTGAGCACAGACCATCCAACTCAAAAAGCTTAACAAAACAAGACAGACACAGTACAGGGCATTAAAATCCTGATCATTATTGACTTTTTATTGTACAACTACTGGTAAATAAACCTTTCTGTTTCTCATGAGGTGAAATTTGAATTATATATGAATTCGGCTCTCTACAAATCGATATCTAACCTAATCAGGATGGGTTGATAAATACATAATTTATTGTTTGTTATTATGTATTATGAGAACAACCCATTTTAGACAAACCATATTGTATGAGAATATCGGGTTGGTCAAGAGCATACTTTTATCTTTAGTTCTTTAGATGTTTATTACAACATTATTAAAATACTAGGTTGAAATACAATATAATTTTAGTTAAATCATAAATAGTGTTTTGTATCTTAAGATGTGTTTTGCATTTTGCTTTGCTTTTTTCATGATGCACTACAAGGATGACGGAAGAGCAGATGAATGAACAGAAAGTTGAAACCAATGAATATCGCAGAGAAAATGGCACATACTGGTTGCCTCGCTTCTGTCAGTGTGCCCCCAGTAGTAGTTTATCACCACTGTGTATGGAGTGAATGAATAATGACATGTGAAATGACTTTGAGTGTCCAAAAAAGCGCTATATAAAACCGATGCATTATTATTATTATTAATTTCAAATTAATCAAAATAGTTAGAGGGAAAAATATATATATATATATGTATTTTTATTTTATTTTGTTGTTTCAAATATATAGATATATCTAAATAAACAAGTTAATATTTGAACAATACCTAAAATAGTATTTTCAAAGAACTCTGGTGTAAGTTTAGAAAGCTTATCTGAATCTGTTCCTGAGCCTAAAGGAGGAGGATGTTTTGAAGTGAAAGCACGTGACTCAGCTGCTGAGCTCTGATGGACCCAGGTGAGATGTTGGCTAATCTCTCACAGTCGTCCTACTCTGTCACGCACTCCATGTTTAAAGCTGAAGCTATTCTTCCACAGAGCCATTATTTTAGTCCTAGTGCTTAAATGGGTTGGCTAGAAAACAGTGCTTCCTAAATACAGCACAGTGCAATTAACGTAGACTTATTATAGAAAGCTGTTGTTCCATACCTGCTGGAACACAAGGCCCTCGCTGTTCTCATTACGACATGTTCAACCATTACAGCGGTGAATGTACACTGGACACAGCCTGGATTATGGAATAATCAACAGTCAACCGATTAACAGAATAAGGAATAGGTCATACAATTAGTAATGTCTTATTGAGATTAGCCTCACTGACCAGAGAAACAGAGAGAGAGCGAGAGAGAGAGCAGAGAGAGAGCAGAGAGAGAGCAGAGATATACCAGAGATATACCAGAGAGAGACCAGAGAGAGACCAGAGAGAGACCAGAGTCCAGAGAGAGACCTCACTGACAAAAGGACAAAAGGAGATGTTACGCTTCAAGGCAGTTTCATTAACAATTGTTTGAACTGTTCATCTCATTAACAGAGTGAGACACTACAACTGTCTTCTTTAAGTCAAAGTTAAAAAAATTTATCAGTTACTGACGCCAACAACAGCAGATTATTACTGCTGCACTCCAGATGTCATTGCCATCCTCAGTACAATAGTAATAGGAGGACCTTTTTTTGCTTCTTTATTATACCAAACCAATATAAACCCTGTCACACTGTTTCATATAGTAGTGAACCACATCCTCCTGTTGTGGCATAGAGTCAAGGCTGGGCCACCGCTCTTTATCTTGGCCTGATGTGAGCTGCGTGTGGCTCAGCTCTGACTGTGAGCGGCGTCTGGAAAGTCCACTGCGTGATGCAGGATGCCACTGTCTCACACACGGAGGCTCCATGTCTCGCCCTCTCCACTCTGCTGTACTTTTGCTGACTGACCCTCAATCAGAGGAAGGTTGTCTAATGCGGACAAATCACTCGTCATGTTGGGCTGCTCTATGCCCTGAGCCCTGCCCCGAGTGCAGTCAGGGTGTCCCGGCAGCCACTGGCCTGGAGCCCGGCCCTCCCTGGTCCCGAGCCTGTGGTAGAGCCTCGTCTGCCTGTGTCCCGTGGATAACACATAATAGCCATTTGGGCATATGTAACTATTAATATTACAGCTCTGAGGCCACTCCATCATACAGTAGATCCATGATTATCTATAGGAACATAACAGTGAGCCTAATATAGAACCGGTGTGAACAATGTCTGCACTCAAAAAATATATGCATTTGAAACTTGCAAAATCTAAACAAATATTACAAGAACAAAACCAGTTCCTGCATGACATCTGTGTGCCCTTCGTCACATTGGTAATTAAAATTTCCCTGAAAAGGAAATAGCTGTAATGGTAAAACAAAGGCTGATTGTAATTTGAGGGATGGTAGTGTGTTTGAATACAGCATAATTGAATAATGGGGATACGAGTGTATGTGTGGGAGTGTGGAGTGATTTAGAGCACTGAGGAGCAGGCTTATCTCACCCCATGTCCTATGCAGGAAACACTGGGATGTCACCAGGCAGATTAAAAGCTTGGCACAGCTGATACAGTGCACTCAAAATGGCTGGGGTGGGGACCTCGGCCTGCCATGCGAGGGGTTTGGGGACGGGCGGTTGTGTGACCTTACGAGTTCTGTTTGGCACCAATTCATTCAAAACCTGGGAATTCCACTGGAAGTCATAACAAAGAAAGAGAAATGTAGCATCACGTAACACAAAGAGAATGTGTGATCGTAAGCATGTTTTTGGCGTGGGCTGAAACGTGACTTCCCGAAGGATTGATGGAATTTACAGTTATAATGCCGCATAGTTACACATATGTAGAGAGAGATGTTTTTCAGAGAGTTCACAGAGATCATGTTGAAGTACCTGATGAATGTCGTTGATCCAAGTACAGCTGTATCACTTTTAATTGAATTCCTGACAGCTGCAGTATAGTGAGAGATATTACCAGTTCTTACAAGGGCAAATGAAGAGGCAGAACATGGCAGAACATCTGAGCACTCTCCTGTTATTTTCTTTTCGCCACCAGTTATAACTCGTCTTTAAAGCAGGAGATGAGTTGGCCAGCCTGTGCCACGCTTTGCCCCATGATTTGAGCCAATCTGTGCAGACACAAGAGAGGTGTTTGATGGGCACGCAGTCAGACAGATCTGGAGGAGCAGCTGCATGTGAGGACGCTGGAGCAAATATAGAAAGGAGACAAGGGCCAAAACATATCACACATTTTTTCCCATTAACAGCATAGGTTTGAATCTAACTTGGCGCCAATTAGTTGCAGTATAGGCTTAAAAATAGAAGGTGGCTGTGGGTGCCAATGCAGCCGGAACGCAGAGGCAGATATCTCTGTCATGGCAGCGTGTGATTTCACATGTAATCAGGCGAAGGGGAAAATAACAGTATTGATATCACCAGCTGGTTCATTATAACTCCATGACGGGAAAGTTATGAGACAAATGGCACACAAGCTTTTGTTGCTACTACCTGTCACTCTATATGGGATATATCGAAGGCTTTGTACATGCGTGGGGCCTGAGTTCCCATGTGTCATTCTCACCAGTCCTGTCCAGAGACTGTACTTCCATCGCTGACCGGTCTCATCTCAATCTATCAATCATTTATGAACAAATCGATTCGGAACAAAACAAACAACAAAATAACGCTGCAAAATCAATACAGCAGGACACAATACAATTCATATTTGGTATAACACACTCAGACAAGACACATGCCTTAACACTCTCTGACCCTACACCTGCACTACTTTTCTGCACGTACTTCTATGGTAGATATTTTTTTAACTTATTTTATGTGCAATAGGGTTTGAACATGTTTTAAAATCAACTGTTGATTCGTTCCCAAGAATAGCCCCACGCTCTGACATACACATTTATTAATCTAAGCACACATAAGTTTTAGCTTCTTCCATCTCTATCATGGAATACGTTTTTGTACATTAGCTGGCGGAGAGTTTCCAGATGCCCTGAACACTATCTGTGAAGCAGCGGCTGGAATGAGGGACACGCAGACTCGGGGCCTATACCTGTTTACTCTAAGGGCTTCCTCCACTGCCCTCCCCCTCAGTTTCCTTTCAGAGATTTTTCACATTTTTGTGCCTCTTGTTTTGGGAACAGGTCAGGGGCTGGCCACACGGAGCCTCCTGGGGGTTGTCTCGGTCGGCTCACAAACTCAGGTCATGTTTAAAAAATCTTTCCAGGTTCATTTTACAATCACTTTTATTCAGCACTATGTAATGTATGTGAATAGTCAGGGCAAAGATAACAATTTATGAGTTTGGCTATGTCCCTCGGTTCACGGTGGAATGGAGTCATGCACTAAGCCCTGTGATGACAAAAATAGACCAGGTCAGTTTGGTTGACGTTATGCAACTAGTGATTGTTCATGGGTAAGAGTATACATGACTAGTTAATGCCGTGGTAATTGGGCTCAATGTAATCTTCCTGAACCCTCGAGTATTCTATACCAAAAAGTCTTTCAAGAAACTAATTTAAGCTGCCACGCTTTGAATTAATATAGAAGAGTATGAAACAATCGAGTCTGGCTATTCTTTTTACGTTGAAGGTAATTACATTTAATACTAGATTATTATTTTGAATAATAATACACATTAATATTATTATAATTTATTTATTTATTTCAATTGTGGACATAACAATAAATCACATATTACAATAACATTTAAAATAATTGTCGTCTTGTCGCACAAATGATAAGGAGCAGAAAGAAGAAAAAAAATCTTATGTTGCCGGCCCCTTTCTTCAAACATGTACAAATTAAATAAAAAATAAGATGGCCTTCAGCGCTTCTTCAAACTGTTTTTATTTTATGTTTTTTAATATATAGTTTTTTTCTCTCTTTTTTTTCCTTCTAATCATTCATTTCATACGATTTCACTGTTGTTGCCTTGTTTTTTTTTCTTAAACATGTGGAGGTTTGTGGAATTTTTTACGTCATAGTCGAGTTGATTCCATAATTTTACCCCGAAATATTAGAAAAAAGATTCTACCCCTTTTTACAATACAATTTAATGTACAGAGTCAAGTTATAATTTCTGTTTCTGGCTGGTGAGGCAAATGCAACTAGACCACGGCCGTGAACCCAATTTCTCGAGCCTTTAGTTCAATTGAATAACTATTTAATGTTCTTATGGAGTCGCAGAAAGGTAAAGGTTCGACTTTAGTGCACGGGGGAACTGGAGCCAGTTGCTCAGTGAGGGTCCAGCAAATGAAAAGCTCTTAATCCTTGTTATCTACAGAGGTTTGCAATGAGATTACAACTCTCCACAGAAATTAGAACAGAATATCAATTTGATGAAGGAGAAAACACATTAGAAATTAGGAGCCTCTAGTAAATACTTTAAGGAATAAAACATGACTAAAGAATTACTGTGTCTGTACAGTATGTGTTGTTTTGTTTTCTTACTGTACTTTTGACTTGTTAATGCGCCAATCACGCGTAAAGGATGCAGGAAGGGCCCGGTGCCTCTCGTCATTTCTCCCCCAAATATCACAGCTGTAGAGTTCTTCAACGAGTCAAACCACATCAAACAGGAGTAGGACGGTGGCTTTTGACTGAGGAGATAAGTGTTCTTCTTCTGTGCTCAATCCAGGTGGTGAGAGCAGCAGACGTCGCTGTGACAGGGACAGAGCACATGGAGCTGAGGCCTTGGGGCCATTTACACCAGCGAGGGCCCCAGACACACAGGGTTGAGAAGTAAAAACACAGATTGACCCATAACAAGGATTTATGAAACAATACTAATTATAGAAATGAATAATAATCAATATATACATTATTATTAAAGCAGTAAATATGCATAAAAAGCTTTTATTGCTGGTACACGTCTCAAAAGTAGAATATTGCATTTTATAACAGTGTGAGGAATACATATTTGCAATTATTCACCGTGTTCTAGTTTTCTACTGCAGATGTACCTATTAGAACTAGACTTATTAGAAAGGCTCCAAAGATACACTTACAATTTGGCCTTAAACATTTTATTTTAGTTTATATGTACAATTCTTGGATGCTGTGTTTTATAAAATGACAGGGGTCTGCTTGAATAATTATGGTTAGTTCAAAGGATTTAAGGGCCCCCTGAAGGACTTATGCTTAGGGCCTCCAAACAGCTAGCACCAACTCTGGATGACACACACTTGTTTGGAATACAGATAAAACATATATATATATATATATTTTATTTGTCTGGAATTATTGCAGAGTTATAGTGACATTACATAGGAAACTTTTGAATAATCCTAAAATGTGGCATAATTTACAACTAAATCATTTATATGGCACATTAATTGTTCTCAAAATCTATGGACGTGTACATTTGGAGAGAAAAGTGTCTGTTAAAAGTCATATATCTGTGTATGTTCATTGTTCGATCTAACCAGGAGCGTGCGGTTGCATCTGTGCCACACACCTGAAGAGGATTTTCAAGCCGTGCACAAGAGGAGGAGATTACCTTTAAGCAAAGATTAAGCAAATTAAGGCTGATGAGGTCTCCAGAAATAAACTGTGGCCGTGCACTTAGCAGCAGGCATAATGTAGAGTACGGAACGACAGCTCCATGGATGTGCTGAAATTACCTGCAACAAAGGGTGAGTTATATAAATATTACAGTATACATGTCATTTTAGATTTTGTTTCCTTCCGGCCGGTTTGATTGATGTAAAGCTTTTAAAAATGTGTTCATGCTTAGTTTTTGTATGAAAGAATCTTGCATGTGGATATTACTGAATACATGAATTTATGCAGAAATATAAGGTTACGGTCGAGTTCACGTTACTGTCCTAACTGGGAAATTTGTTCATAATTTGTTTTATAATTCATGTATTCAATTCTTAGTGAGGACCTTAATATAGAAATAATAGAAATCACCCCCCTTTTCCTGTTCCTGTTCTTGTTTAAACTGTTAAATTAGAGAATAATTCCAGATTGTGTTGTTTAAGTGCATTCTGCCCATTTTGATATAAAACTACTAATACTAAAATACATATATATCAATAATGTATAAATAAATGATTCATTTTTCATAGTGTTGATTCATAAAAATTAATCTGTGTTCAATCGTTTCCACATTGGATGGTCTTACAGGCTTTTCCGTGCCTTCTCATATGTGCGAGCTGTCTTAATTCAATTAATCACACAAATAAGATGCTATTCACGCGGCGGCCTTCCCAGAAGCAGGGCCATGTTACCTGATCCCCCCTGTAGCGCGAGGTAAACAGCATATGTTTGTCAGACGTCACACCTGTTTTTCCACTTTGTTTTTGTCTCGCTGTTTACAATGAGTCATTTTGGTTCTAATTATTCTATATTTATCAGAGAAAATGTGAGGCAGATACTGAAGCAGAGGCTGATGAATGTGTTGATATAGAAGCTATGACTTAAATGTTAAATGAAGGGTAAATTCATGTTTCTCTTTGTGCTTAGAACAAAATGAATGAACCAGGGATGCGTCTGATAGGGGTCAGATTTCACATTACTGACCACGCAACACAATCAATACACATAAGGATAAACATGAAATATCTTACACAAGCATAAAACAACTTTTAAAAGCACACACACACCCAAACATCAAAACAGACATTGTTATAAGCATTAATAAAAGAGAATAAATGAATGACTATGTTACAACTTGAGATTCTGATCAATGCATTCAAAGAGAAGCCTTGACTTATCTTTTAAATGAACAGTAAATTCATGTTTCCTCTTTGTGTTTAGAACAAGTGAAAAATGAATGAACCAGGGATGCGGCGGTCGCTCCCGGAGGAGTTTTCCGGGAGCGGGCACACCTTGGCCACACTGCGTCACCAGCGTGTCAACAACCCCATTCTCTCCAAGCGAGTGTGCTTCTACAAGAGCGGGGACCCTCAGTTCAACGGCCTGCAGATGGTCATCAACAACCGCACGTTTAAGACATTCGACGCACTCCTGGACAGCTTATCTAAGAAGGTCCCTCTGCCGTTTGGAGTCCGGAACATCACCACCCCACGGGGCGTCCACGCTGTCTCCTCGCTGGACGACCTGGAGGATGGCAAGTCCTACATTTGTTCAGACCAGCGAAAGGTGAAGCCCATAAATCTGTCTTTGGCACGGAAAAAGCCACCTCCCTGGTATCACGTTCGGCCTGTGAGCTCCCGAAGCCGCACCATTCAGCAGCCCCGGTTCTACCCCGGCTCCAAACGCCGCAACCTCGAACCTGTGGCGATGCGGGCCCCGAAACAACTATTGGTTTTACGCAATGGAGATCCAGAACTAAAATGTTTTGTTCTGCTCCAAAAGAAGACTACACCCACGTTTGAATCCATCCTGGAATATATCTCAGAGCTGATGCAGTTCAATGTGACAAAACTGCTCACTCCAGAAGGAAGACGTGTAAGTGTGAATGTTTATGAGCAAAAATGTTTTATACTGAGCTATATTAACTTCCACCCGGCTTCTAAGGGCCTTCACACGACCAGAGAAAGTGATAAGCCTCTTTGCCAGTCTTAATTCTCTGCAAAGTATTCTAGGATACATTCACGGGGCAAATGAGTGTATTGTCCCTGACTCGTGGTTCAAAGGGCCCTTTGACACTTTGACACTTTTAATTATTATTTAGTTTTTTTATATGATTTTCTATTAAAGAGGGGCCCAAGTGAACCCTCTCACCCCGGCCTCCTAAATGTTGTCAACGGGCCTGAAAACACTCATATCTATTGTTTGGGTAAATGAATAACAAACAAACTAGACATGCAAACATCTGATAGGAGCTCGGACTTCACATCACAAACCACATCCACGCAACTCACAACATAATCACACATTATACAAGTTAAAAACACATAAGGATGAACATTTGAAGTATCTTACATAAGCAAAAAACAAGCAACAACTACATAAGGCACACACACACACACACACAGAAAAAAACAGGCATTGTAATAAGCATTTACAAAGTTATAAAGAAGTAAATACAGTGAATTAAATTACAAATGTTTCATCGTTTAATTAGTTCTGATCTATTATAATATCTAAAAAGTATCATGCAGTGAATAAACATCCATTCTAACACATATTTCATTTCCTCCAGGTTGACGGCCTCCCAGGCTTGATAATGTCCTCTGGGATTGTAGTGGCTGCAGGCAAAGAGAAGTTCATACCTGCAAACTACAGTTCACAAAAACCTCTCGGACCTACTCGAATGAGGATGAATCGGAGGGGAGTTCGAAGACTAAAGGCTTTAAATTGTAAGTGAAAAAATCATCTGTTCTATTGCCATGGAAACAAGTGTTTATAGGTAGCTAGCACTTTAGTAGGTGCACTGTACCTTTAAGATAATTCAGTGCGTCAAGTGCAATCAATCTCATAGGATGAAGATTTAGAAGCCGTGCAGACATTGTAATACGTAATACCACAGATGACCTACATGCACGCACAAAATAATTATTGATTATATCTGACTGTTTTTTCTTCTCTTTTTTCATGTATCATCTGGCCGGTTATCCTTCTCTACAATGATTTCACTTGAACAAACTTCAGACAAAAAGAGGTCTTATGCCATGAAGCCCCGGATCCTCTCTCCCTCATCAGAACGATACATTGTGAGGCAGATCCACAACACTATGGCAGAGAGCACATACAGCATGCCCACAAACTCCATCGAAATGGATTCCAGTCATGTTCTGGAGTCGGTGGCAGAGTCAGAGGCAGAGAACTTTGCCGGAGTTTGTTGCGTGGAAAGCCAGGACTTTATGCTACCTGCAGATGACGACATTGAAAAGTCCTTCCGAGTGAACCAGGATGGCAGCATGACCGTAGAAATGAAGGTGCGTCTGACAATCAAGGAAGAGGAAACGCTTCAATGGACAACCACCTTGTCACGCTCTTCTGTATCAAATCAGCTTAGTGAGGACTGTTTCTTGGCTCCTGAACTAGAGCAAGAGATCAACCAATCTGAATCACAGCAAATGGATTTACAGCCCCCTGCGACAACCAAGGACATCCAAGAAGACATGTGCATCACGAACCCAACAACAATCAGCAATGGAGAATATAATCAGGAGGTCAACAGTGAAGAAGAGAAAAGTTTTGTGTCTCCTTTGAGAACGCCATCCCCGGGAAAGAAACGACTCCACACAAAACAGGCCTCTGTGGAGAGCATTACTTCTCTGACTAAAGAAGGCTTTCAGGAGGACATTGTTGGTTCATACTACAGGGAACACTTAGAGAATGGAGATTTAACTGAGCAGTATTGCATGGTCAAACACACCAACTCTCGACCTGTACCTAAACCCAGAAGAGTGGGCTCAGTGGACTCAAAAGAGCAACTTATACCAACGTACAAAGCAGCTGAAGTGACAGGGATCTTTCAGATGGATTCTAGCGGAGAGGAGGTGACAGAGACGGTCATGCATATATATGAACAGCAGACGTGTCAGGATAACTTTCTTGCCAACATTTGTACACAGGCTATGTCCACTGCTTCTAGTAACTTTTGCAGACCAGCGTCTTCTGACACCGGTCACCCCTCCAGTAATATGGAATACCGGCAAGAGACATGTGGACCCTCTACAACAGCATCTGAATCTGTTAGCCTCTGGAGATCTGAAAGCATTTCTCTCAAATCTAACTTAACTTCGCAAAATACAGATCCACCATATACACAGGCTCTTTCACAAGAACCAGCAAAGAACCAAAAGAAAGGAAAAGTTAAAACGCCAAAAGAGAGAAAAGGTTCTCCAAAACATAAAGTTAAACGGCTTAAGTCACCGAGAAAAAATATTAAAGAAGGTTTAAGTAAGGATAAATCTTTTCCCAGCGCTAGATTCATAAGCAAAATTTATGGAAACAAATCCAAATCAAAGAAAGACACAACGAAACACAAAAAGAGGAAAAATGAACTGGAATCTGCCACACAAAAAGGCACGTCTCAGGCAGAACACCAGAAAACCAGTTCTTCCGGACAGAAGGAAGCAGTGGTTCAGCAGACCTACTTGAATACAAAGATACAGAGTATTTCTCCTGTGCCACTGCCTGTCATATCCAATTCAGGGACAAATGAATATGTGGAGGACTGGTTGGAGAAATCTCAGTCCAAACCCCATGAAAGGGACAAAGAACCGCACAGAGAACTTGAGAAACTAAACTTGGAGAACGATCCCTGCTTGATGAGTGTGGCGGAGAAGGTCAAGTGTTTAAAAGAGAAACCGAAAGCCTCTCAAAACAGCACAGCACCTCTTCCTGAACTTACACGGAACGGTTCAGTCAGACAAAAAGTGAAATGTTTTGAAAATAAATCACAAGACAACCATCTCCGTGATAAGAGTCCAACAAATAATTTACAGACAAACATTATGCACAAATCAGAGTCAGTCACTGTGCCGTTTGTAGAATGTTCAAATGATCCGGACCTTCCTCCTCCACCTGAAAGCATGCTCGACATCTGCTCTCTGCAAACTGTAGAAGCCTCTGCAGCCAGCAGCCCCTTATATCGCCTCTCATCGGTGTCTGATGTTCATCCATTATCCACGAGCCCTACATCTGACAGAGCCATTTCACCTACTGACCGCACAACAGAGATGGTATCATCAATTCTGACTGACAGTCCTGCAGAGCTGAAGGAAGCGCCATTTCAGCGAGCTCCATCTATTAAAAGAGCCCCGCTGGTCAGTAATCTATCTCTGGAAAGGAAAATGTCTCTGAGAAAAGTCTCTTTAGATGAATATACCATACCTAAGGATAGCGTGCCTCATCAGAGCCACATGATGGCTGATAATTCACTGGGACAGAGCACAGAACCAGCAGCAGAGCAACCTGCATCAAAAAGAGTTTGTGATTCAGAAGGAAGTCCGTCTGCCTCTCTTGCTAGTCCATCAGATCACAGAACCTCATCCAGTGTGTTGTCCAATGAGACTTCAAAGACAATCAAACAACATAACCAGAAGGAGTTAGTGTTGTCAAAACAATTATCAAAAAAGGGCAAAGTTTTAGGAAGCCCATCTCCAGAGAGGAGACAGAAACCATCTTCTGAAGGGATGAACAGATCTCCAAGATTAGCTTCTATGAAAAGCCACCCTGCTAATAAAAATGCTTCACCAAATGTTGAAAGAAAAAGAGGTCCAACACCATCTGCCAGCCCTGCAAGCGAGAGAAGTGTAAAATCCAAACTGGTGAAAAAAGCATCTCCATATTCACAATCGTTGGACTTGGCTTCACCACCTGTGAAACACAAGATATCTAAAAAGTCACTTCTCAGAAACCAGTCCACTGACAGCCCTTTGGCAGCTACAAACAAGAAAATGCCTGTCCAAAAAAGAACTGAGCAGGAACCATTAACACAATCAAACACACCTAAACCTGAACAAGCAACAACGGGTGATAGTAAAGGTGACAATGAGACAAGACGTTCTAGTAAAACTGAAGAAGTTGGAGAAAATTATATTAATGAATTGAACGGAGTCACGTCTCCAGAGATAAAGAGAAATGAGTCGGCCTCTTTGTCTCTCAGTTCAAAAAGTACAAATGAGAAATATGACAGTGTGCCTCGTAACAAGTCAAATGCCAATGGCCAAACAAAGAACAGTGAACCTGACATGTCAGCAAAACAAATCAGTGTAACACATCAGGAAGCCACGGCTGAAAACCAGGAGAGCCAATCAGAAGTGGAAGATTCAGATTGTTATGTAGAACTAAACGTTTGCAAACCCCAAAGTAAAGCAACACTGGATGATGAGAGCGAGTCTGGTGCATCAGATGCTGAACGAATGCAGGTGGACTACCTCAGTGGTGTGGAGGTCCACAGAACTGTGGAGGACGTGCCTACAGATGTAGGTTCTGAGGAAGAGCAGAAAGAAGAACTTAATGCCATTGCTGAAGAACCATTATCAGAAGAAGGAGAGATGAGGGCCGCGCTACAAAAACAGCAGTCAGATATGGGTGTTGACAGTGGGAACGACCACTGCAGTTTTGAAGACAATTTCACAAACAATGACATCATCTCAGTGGATGAAGAAGTAAGCTGTGATGAGCAGGACACAGCAGTTCTGAGTGGATACACCAGGGACAGGTGTGACCTGACATTACATTCAGAAGATGAAAAGTTTGTGAACATGGCCAAAAAGATATGTGATGATGTATTATCCCAGTCTGTTTGTGAGCATGAGGCTTGTGCAGAAGATGTGGCGAGAGGCTCAGAGAGTACAGTCTCACAGAGAAAGCAGTCGCTCGTCTCTGATGGAGAGGAATCCTCCACTGAGTCCTGCATGTCTCAGCACTCCCCCAGCACCCACACTGCTCCACTGTCCTCCTTATCCTTTAGCTATGACTCCACCAATGTTATAACCAAACAACCAGAGGCAAACCGGGTCAAATCCATCAGAGAAATGTTTCTTGCAAAGAATACTCCCGATGATCACCCAAAAATGAGTCCAAACACATGTGATATAACAGAAGTAAGAAGAGAGACTTCTGTCAGTGCAGGATATCAGTCTCAGACCTCAGGGGAGCTTTCTAATGCTGAAGAGGACTCTTCTCGTAAATCTATCAGTAAAGGTTTTGTAATGAGAACAATTGAAAGATTGTATGGTAAAAAGGACTCACCGACTCAGCTGGATAAAAGTGAAAGCTCTCTGTACTCACAAAAACAGAAAAAGAAAGATCAAACAAGTATATTTTCCCCAATTCTCTCCAAAACAGCGTCAGAATTTTCATACTTCAATTCATTAAATGCAGTGGATGCCTTAAACGAAGCCAGGTGCATAGCTTTTAATGCACAGGTCGTTCCTGCAGATACTCTCCATAATAATCGTGAACAGTGTTTTTTACAAGACAGCCCCATCCTTAGAAAGTGTGTTTCAGATCCAGTCTCATTGAATCAAAGCTTAACAAACCCCACTCAGGAAGAGCAAAAGCCATGCAAAGAAGAGAAAGTTCCATATTTGCTCTTCAAGACAGACTCAGAGGAGGAACAAAAGTCTCAGTCGAGGAAATGCACTTATTTTTCTCTGCCTCATTCGAACGACTCCGATGCAATCACAGAAGAATCCGCACACACCAGTGTTAAAGCCGAGGTTTGTAGCGAGTCTAAAGACAAACCAGAGAGCACCAAGATACACTCTGAGAAAAATGGGAAACTTTCTGGAGGAGATTTCCGAATGATGGACAACAAGGTTCACCCTCTGGTCAAAGATTCTCCAGAAGAGGCTGTGGTGGTGCAGCCGCTCAGAGGTCAAGGCGTGGTAAACAGGAGAGCCCCCGAGCCGGACATGCTGGACTTTGTGTATCATTTCTGTGGAGAACATTGTCCAATATTGTGATATTTTCAGTGATGGAAATGTCATATCATTTTGACTGTGCCTCTTTTAATGTTGCCATAAAATGTTGGCATAAAAACTGTAAATTAACTACTAATCGGTTGTTGAAATAGTTGTCAACTCATTTAGCAATCGGTTTATTGTCTTTTAATAATAATAATAATAATACATCATATTTACTGTATTGTATGTAGGTCTTTTTGGACACTCAAAGACGCCTTACAAAAGGACAGAATAGATAAAATAGATGTTTATTTTTTTAAACAGTCAAGTCTGGGCAGTTATGAAGTTCTGAGTATCTAGAAAGGCGCCTAAGAAATAAAATGTATTATTATTATTATTATTCTGAAGGGAGTCCCGAGTTCCTGATGTGTCCCTGATGTGGCAGGTTGATTCACTCAGATGATTCAATAATGACCGCAGAAGAAAATTAAAACGTGTTCACAAAGTATTTTCTAATCGAACAACTCAATGCGAAACACGTCATCTCTATGAATAAGTACTCAAGGTTTTATTATTTTAGTCAACTGTATAAAAATCTCATATCATTTGACTTTTCTGGATCCAAACAACTAATCAATGAAATGAAAGAATAATCGGACAACTCATCGGTTATCAAAAATAACCGTACTTTTAAGTTAGAGAATGAATGTGAGTATCCATCTATCTATTTTCTATCATATATCCTCTATCATATCACATACAGTAGCACCAGCCAATAAATGTGAATAGTGTAGTTGTATTGAGGTGTGTGTAATTATAAACACATATTTTACACTTTTATTAACAATGCCATGCAACATAAAGCAGCTCCTTCTTCCTGGTCGCCTGTCACAGAGCAGAGCATTACTGTAATCTTCTTTTAAAACTCTTAAACCAGATCAAGTCACCGCAGATGTCCGGCAACAAGGCCAATCCCCGCCTCTCTGTTTACACTCAGCTCCTGGTGGCGTGAAAGTTTGTTACAGAAAGAGTGTTTTGTTGTAAAGACTGCGATAGTGTTGAAAAATGACATTGGACTCAAATTGGATTTTCCACGACTGGGAAATTGTCAAATGTTTTTATGTATTGAACGATTTGTAAATATCCAAAGTGGCAGCTGTATCACCTTTGTCCTTGTAATAAAGCATTTACATGTGATAAAATCTATTAGTTCCTCGCTCTCAAAACTATTTTTATATGTACATTTTTTCTACTAGTTTTTACATGTATTTTTCTGGCCTCTGTCACTTATTTAGGTCAGAGTTTTTAGACAAAAAAGAGAACTCAAAGGGTTAGGGCAATTTCTTAGATTTAGAAAACATTTTCATAATATCTATTTCATAATCAACATTTAACAATTACAAGACTCTCTTGTGACAAAAATATTATAATATAAAATTAGTTAATAAATTAGCTTTAATGTTGGACATAGAAAGAATAATCAAGGTGTGAGACTGATTCTGAAGAGGAGCACTTGTTTCTCAGTGCCATTAGGCCCCGGGGGACGAGCCGGGTCCCTGAGGAAGTATCCATGTTGTTGTAAGGTTGTTATGATTCCCACAAGAAGCCATCAGGCTGCACCTTGTTGTGACAGGAGCATGGAGGAATGCACTGCTGTGGGCCTCGCTGCCTGCACTGGAACCACCATAAAGATGTCACACACGGCTCGACAGTTACTCTACGCAAATGAGGAGAGCTGTACAGTTCTGCCACGGAACTTTTACTAAAACCAGCGACGTCTGTGGAGTTAGAGAGAATCCATAGGTCTGCCATAAAACACTCTTTGGACCATTGAAAATCTCACAATGGTGGCAATAGACAAACCATGTAAGACAAGTGAGAAACTAAAGAATGTCCATTATTTAGTAGTTTATTATTTAAATAAATATTTACATAACAGCTTTGTATAAACCAAATTAGTTTTTTTTCATACACAACACATCTTTCTGAAAACGCCTTTACAAGAGAAAATAAGGGATGGATTACAGTCATTTAAATCGGATGAGGTTCAGTTCAAACCTTTTTGATCATTGAGAAATTTGCCATTTATCAACCCTGAGCCAATAAGGCCACTCCTTGTTCAGCCAGTAATTAAAATATGCAAACATCTACACGATCATTTGATATACATCATATTGTTGCAAAACAATAGGAGGATGTTAATCTACACACCAAATGTCTTAGATTGGAACATTTGGTCAAATCTAAACAATTACCATGATCAAAAATATTGAAAATTATAAACATCACATGAATTATTCAGGCACAAACAAAAGAAAAGAGCATTAGTGGAACATAGCATTTCACTAATGTTAGGCTACAATGCCATGCTAAATGATAAACTGTTTATGGCCAAAATTAAAAACTGAAGGAAATCAAAGCACACCATGAATGCCCGCGTTTACATTACAGCACTATGTTTCCAAAACATTTTAAAATTGAATACTCAAAAAAATAAAATACAAATATTGCTGCCGTCCCATGCACAACTATACTTGTAACATGTTTCTGTATAAAATGGACAGATTATGAAGGTTGAGATTAAAGGGTGATTGAAAATTGTTTCAAACAACAACTTTGTTGTTTTCATCCTGAGAATTAAATGAATGAAAATCCAAAATTCAAAAGAATGATGCAAATATCTGATAAAAGAAACGTGGAGTCTTGAGTTACACGACGGGGGTTATACTTTTTCAGTTTCTTTCTGTGTTTTCGGTGTCCCATTTACAAAGTTATAAACCAAAAATTGTGAAGTGCCAAAATATTGTGTGGCAAAAAGTTTCCCGTCAGGAGTTGGATCAGAGAAGGCGATCTCGTCTTTGCTCAGGTTCGAACCATATATGAAGTTGTTTCTGTTTGGAGACGGAAAGCATTGTTATTTGAAGCTTTGCTATGAAGAATTGTAACACAAAGGGTTAAAGTAACTTGCCTGAGGCAGTCGAGCATGCGTGAGGCTATGCTTTGGCGCCTCATTGTGCTGACCACCCAAATGCGGCTGATGCCACAGATGGCCGGTTCAGAGGTGGTGGAGCAGCACCACGCTCGCTGTCTCTCAAACATAACCTTCTCTCCTTCTGATCCAGACGGTGACGGCTCTTCGATCACTCTGTAGCCCTACAACCACAACCACACAATAAACATGTCTGCTAAATACTTAGTTTTATAATTAGAGCAGGGTGTAATACCTCATTAATGTGCTCGGCAATGAGGCATCCGGAAACTTTCTTGTCATTGGAAATGAAGAGGAAGGTTTTAGTCTTTGAGGGACACTTTGACTCCACCTGCTGGAAGCCAAGGTCACTGTCCACCATCTCCCTTATCTCTTCAATCTAAATGGAAAGAAATAACATTTAATGTGTTGGAAAAGTTAGAAAACCACAAATCATTCATTAATGAATTTAATTACCTTCTTCAGCGCATATTTTGGATCATCGTGCAGAACAAGAATGATTTTTCCATCAGGATATTCTGACAAAATCCTTTCCTTTTTCCATCCCTGAGGAAAGGACCATGTGTGTTAATTACAGTTAGGACAGATATGAAAACAAACCACTGTATATTATTTGAAGCAATGCGCACAGATAAAAACGTGTGTCTTACCACATATTTGACGGCGCTAATGAACTGGTTATGAAAGAGTAAATGTTGAGATTCATCCTCTGGATTAGCAGCAGAGTAGAGCATCCCACACACACTGCACGCCACAGGTCCAAAGTGCTTTTGTCCTGCATCCTGTGGCAGAGGCAGAAACGATTAAATTACAACTGGACTTTGTGCACAAAAACAACAAAACAAAAACACGACTCACAATTATAGTCTGAGTGCCATCTTTGTCCGCTTCCTTTAGTTTTTTTATTTCTCTCTGTAGACTGGAATCCGACAATGGAGTCTCAATGTTTTGACTGAGAAATAAACATGAAACACATTACTTACATCTATATCAAAAAGGTTTTTCTGATCGGCAGAATGAAGATACTTACTCCTTTTCAGGTTTCGACTCTTCATTCAGGTCACTTTCTTCAGTTTCACTTTTACTTTCTTGATGGACAACAGCAGTTTTCCCCTCATGGACAGGAACCGCTGTAAGAAAAGAAAGTTACAAGTTCATATAATATTTCACAGACTTAATGTGATGCAATCGTCATTGTGGAGCAAAGAATGACCAACACATTTGATCAAAGTGAATACCTTCTGGGTTCTCACCACACTTCTGCGCATCATTTGTTTCATTGGAGACTTCTTTCGGGAGGACAGATGCTACAGATTCTTCCTCTTTTGTCTAGTTATAAAAAAAGAGTAAACAAAAAAAGGTCAGCACTGTTTTACACGAGAGCAGAAGAGGTCATTTGGATACAGTACCTTGCATTTGGCCGGATCTGGGGCGTCCTCTGGAGGAGAAGCCGCTGTTGTCTCACATACAGCGGGCTGAGCTACAGATAAAGGCTTCTTCTCCTGAGAAGTTGTACTCGTGGGCTTCATCTGGGGCAGAGGCGGGTCTACTGACTTGGACGGGGTTGAAACTACAGATTTTGACAGTGGGCACGTTGAGACTGGAGTGCTGTGTAGAACTTTCGCTGTGGGTGAGGGCTTTGATGATGTTGGAGTTGCATGTGTGCCTTTTGGCTGTGTCTGTGATGCTGCAGCGTTGGCCAAAGCACTGGGGGCTGGCCTGGTCTGACCCGTGATCTGTCCAGCAGGTGTCAGAGCGGCGGGCTTCGACTGGTTTGAAGGTTGTGTTGAAACGGAGGGTTTTGGGGAGGTTGTCTGGGCAGCTGCTCTATTCTGAACATTAGGCCTCATCTGGTTGGTGGGCTTAGCCTGGAGACACACTTTTGGAGGAGGGACGGGGTCATCGTCCAGCTCAAAGTCATCGAACGAATACTTGGGCCTGGGTTTGTACGGTTTATACTCAATCTTCAAACTGGGATTATTAAGACCATTTGGCATGGGGGGCGGAACTGCTGGGAGAACCTTTTTAGGCGTGGCTTTGCTTTTTGTTGCTGGTGCAGGTGAAGATGTGGCTTTTGATGATTCAATTTTACTGATCCGAGAAGACTTGCGGAGCTCAGGTTTTGATAAGTCAGCTTTTGAAGATTCTGATTTTGAAGATTCAGTTTTTGAATCGTCCTTTTGGGTTGTTTCAGATTTATTCTCTTGGGGCTTTTCTAATACTGCCACTTTAACCGGCCCTGTTTGGGCAATTTCCATTTTGGCTGGTTCCTTAACAGGTGTTTCTGGCTTAACCGTCTCGACTTTAGGTTCTTCAGCCTTAGGTGCAGGTTTGTTGGGGGTTAAGGGGCTTGGTGAAGGCAGTTTAGACAAACTAGGAACAGGCTGGGAAGCAGTTGCCACACGATCCGTACCAAATGAGGAAAAGGACATTGATGCCTGCCAGTCAATCTCAGATAACACTTGATTTGCTTGGTCAGATTTGAGCTTCTTCATTCTAGCCCATGACATTTTCTCTCTCTGTAGTTCAACTTGTCTTAATCTTTGAAATCGAGTAAGTTTCTTTTTCTCATGTGCTTTGAGTGGAACAGTTACTTGTGATGTAAAGAACCTTCGTTTTGGTTGCTCTGGAGCAGCCTTTGACTCGTCCGTGTTAGTGGAAGCCGGCTGTGGAACAATGTGGTCTTCCGCAGGTTTGGTTGAAGTTGAGCTCACCTCTTCCTCTCCTTGAGCTGGAGCCACCACATCCCCCGACCGATCCTCTTGACTGTTATCAGGTGGACTTTCAATTTTGATTACATCAGACTTAGCAGCGGCCAGCTTCTCCTCCTCAATCTTTTTTAGAAGCATGCTGTCTGTGGCTATGTCCTCTGCTATTTCCTGACACAAAGCTAACAGATTGAGCTGCTCCCTCCTCGTTTGTTTCTTAGCTGCCGCAGCAGCCTTTTGCGCTGCTAGAGCTGCGAGACGTGCCTTGGTCTTGGCCTGAGTGTTCATTTCTAGCTTCTTAGGTTTTTCAGGCTCTTTCCTCACTACAGTCGTTCCATCATTCTTTATAGTGGCCAGTGGCAGAGTTGTGGCGCTATCCTTCTTTACAGAGATAGTTTCTTTAGTTTCTTTACTGGTACTATTTCCCATGCTAGTTTCAACACTCATGTCGTTAAGTTTTTCATCAGTCTTTTTCAAATTGTCAGTAGTCACTTCTTGAGGTTTTTCAATAATAGAAATATCACTGTCCTCTTCTTGTCCCTCTTCTTCCACAACAATCTCACGCCCAATCTCAAAATCTGCTAAAATATGACATTCTGGTGGGTCCATATTTACATCCATTGGATGTATGACATCTGCCTCACAGTTGGCTGAGGTCACGTCCATGTTGTCATTGGGTTGGGGGGAGGAGCTAATTTGCTCAACTTGATCAGTAATGTCTTGTTCAGAGATTTCCAAGTGTTTTTCACTAACGGTTGTCTCTATAATCGTCTCATCAATAATGCTTTCAGCGTTAGAATTAACCTCTTCCGACAGCCCTGATTCTGTCACAGCTTGAGTAATAATGTCATAGTGAACGGTAGGCACTGGCTCTAATATAACATACTCTTCACATGTTTGAACAGCTTCTTGGTTTTCCCGGACTACTGCAGTAAATGTGACAGTTTCCGTGTCTGCAATGGCTTCAGGTCCAGTCACCTCCAGCACTTGTTCTGTAGACTGGGACGCAGTGACCTCATCCGGGACAATTCTCTCAACACGCGCCTCTTCTGTACTCTCCATTTGGACATCTCGTGCATTTCCACTCCCATCCTCCTGCTCCTGTCCTGTAGTATCAGTGGCAGCGATTAAAGCTGGGACAGCACTCTCAGAACTCTCTTCTATGGTCTCCATTTGGACATCTTGTGCATTTCCACTCCCATCCTCCTGCTCCTGTCCTGTAGTATCAGTGGCAGCGATTAAAGCTGGGACAGCACTCTCAGAACTCTCTTCTATGGTCTCCATTTGGACATCTTGTACATTTTCACCTGCACCGAGCACTGAGGCACTTGCATCCTCCTGCACTTGTTCTGTAGACTCAGATGAAGAGACTAAATCTGGGATAGCACTCTCAGAACTCTTCTCTGTAGTTTCTATTTGGACGTCTTGTGCCTTTTCCCCTGGAGCAACCACTGAGAGACTTGCCTCCTCCTGCACCTGTTCTGTGGACTCAGAGACAGTGACGACATCTGGGACGACACTCTTCTCTGGTGTGCTCTCCAACTGGACATTGTGTGCACGTTCACCTGCAGTGACCAATGAGGTGCTCACATCCTCTTGCGTCTGTTCCGCAGACTCTGTGGCAGTGACTAAATCCGGGACAGCAGTCTCAACAGCCTTTTCTTGTGTGCTCTCCAACTGGACATCATGTGCATGTTCACCTTCTCTGACCACTGACTCACTCACATCCTGTTCACCGTTACTTTGCTCCAACTGGTCGACAAGTGGGGTCTGTTCCACACTCTGCATTTCGGCTTCTGCGTGAGCCTCGGACAACACTTGAAGACCTTCATTTTTAAGATGGAAGTTGTTGCCTATTTCTTCAGTCTGTGGTACATCAGTCTGTGAACTTTGCAATTCTGTTTGGTTGTCCAAAACAAATGTCTTGTTTTCAAAACTTTGACCATTTACACTGCATTCTTCAACAGAGGTGGTTATATCAGAATTTTCTGGGGGCCCACTTGGGATTTCAGAAACTCCAAAGTCATCGGAAAGCATTTCTTTGTCAGTAGATAATGCTGACACAGAATAAATAATCTGGGAGCCATCTGTGATGTCTGAATGCACCAGTCGAACCGAACGGCTTTCAGGACCTTCATCTGTTGTACTTTCTGGGCTGCTGATAGGCTCATACACAATCTGGTTATCATGTCTTTGAACATTGGACTCAATCTGAATAGGTTCTTCCATGTTGTGAACATTCTCTTCTTGATTAACAACAATAACAGTCTCCTCATTGACTTTTGATTCGTGAACTTGTTCATCAGTATTAACTACTTGTTTTGTTTCCGTCATCATATAACTGCCATCGACAGCACTCTGATTTGTTTCAATAAAGTTGCTTGCACCCCCGACGTCTTGCGATTTAACAACTGTAGTGTTCTCTTCCAAATCACTTTTCTTTCCTTCCATGTTGTGAGAATGTGAAATATGTCCTTGAACTTCACTGAAAACATACATTGGACACTCAGTTTCTTCTGCCACATTCACAAAAGGCACTTCTTTACTCTCTTCCAGTAACTCCATTGTTTGTTGATTCACATTTTCAGGCATGACTTCTTGAGCAGGTATTGTCTCACTGTCTGGCTCTGTAACGTGCACTTCCATAACAATGGTATCAACACTGGTGCAGTCTTCAGTGTAACCATGAATAACATCCGCAATCTCTGAATCAGAAGTAAAGACCTGTCGACCATTATTAGTGGCAACTTGAACTGAGGATGTCGGGACAGAAATCTCCTCAGATGCTGTTTGCACATCAGCTGTTGTAGCATATTCTGCAACATCTTCAATAAAGGCATCACTGATAAAACTTTCTTGAACATCCTCAGCTTTACATGGCAATGGGTCTGAGTTTTCATAAGCAACAACAGTGGAAAAAACGGGCATTTCTTCAGACATTAGCTGCGCTGGATTCTCTGTAACCACCGGTTCTCCACTTCCAGCATTTTGAAGGTCTTGAACTAAAACAGTTTGCGTTTCATTAGATGCTTTATGCTCTAGACACATCTTCACCGACTGTGTATCGACCTCGTCTGATTTTGATACCGTCATAACGTTAGGTTGGGTGTCCGTATGACTAATCATAGACTCAACGTTATAATTTTCAATAACAGCGGCGCAATCCACACGATCAGCTTCAATCAGCTCGGGAGCTTCACTGACCTCAGAGTACAGAGAGCTAACTTTAGGTGACATGTCGGGCGTCACTTCAGGAGAGGACACGGTCTCAACAGCCGTGGGGCTAACAGGGACCGTAGACACGTCAAAGTTGCCCTCATCTTCACCCTGTACTTCTGCAGTGATGGTTACATTCACGATCTCACTCGATATGCATGTGTTCTGTCCGCTTCTTTCTGAATTCTCCATTTCAACAGCTTCGACTTCTTCATGTACGCTTACAGAAGATTGAGGATAAATGATGGTTTTGCAATGATGTTCCTCTTCTTTTCGGTCAGATGGCTCTACGTCAGGTCTCTTAAAATAATTATCTGAAATATTTAGCTGGATCTCACCCTGCACGTCCACTGACCGCACTGGGGGGCTCACAGGGACAACAGCAAACTCCTCTTGACTACTATCAACTTCATCCTTACATTCTGCACTGAGGGATTTGTTCACAATTTCATTTGATGCATGAGAGTTCTGCTCATGTTCCTCTGAATTCTCCGCGTTCAAAGCCACAACTTCTTCATGATTAATTTCAGGAACTTCAGTATTAGATTGATATTTGACAATCTCTTCCTGTAGTTCAAACGTTTCTACTTCTGGTTCCTTAAAATACTCATCTGAAGAATTTAGCTGCATCTCACCTGGTATATCTACTGTTGGCACTGAGCAGACACCTTCTTGAGTTGCAGGGTAGATTGAAAATACATTTGCATTTTGGAGCAAAACTTCAGATTCTTTGGCTTTATCGATACTGTCATATTCTACACTATTTGGAGTGGTGGTGGAACTTTCCGTTTGCATGCCCAGAACTGCATGGGTGTCACAGCTTGGTATTTGCACTGCTGCATAGTTAATCACTTCCACAGCCTCGGTGGAGATGGTAATATTGGGCTGTAGAGTGGCATCTCCATCATTAGGCATTTCTTTCCTCATGTTAGAGTCCACTACAACTGGAGTGACGTTTTCAACTCTGTGGTCATCATGGTCTTCATAATTCTTGCTAGTTTCATTTGATATTACACTCTGTGAGCCACACTCATTGCTTATTGCTTCAAACTTTTGTTCAGCATTTTTTGCATACGTCCTCTCTGGAATTTCCTCAACACAATTAGTTGTATTAATAAAGGCATTTGACACTTGGTCTTGTGTCGGGTGCGACTCAACAGACTGCTCGTAAGTAAATTGAACGGTGGTTTGCTCTAAACAAGTAATACCTTCCTCGTTTGATGCAAAGTTATAACTGTGGCTCTCTGTACTACTGCTTACAGCCTGACACTGATCTGTATCCGAGTGGTTTTCAGCCCACAATGAACTACCAACAGTAAAGTCTGTTTCTTCAATCACAGTTTCATGGTGACTTTCTTTTGTCTGACAATTATCCTGTTCCAACTCACTTTGTAACGGAGTCGAGATTTGAATTAAACTCTCCTCCAGCACAGCTCTTATAGCACCTGGTATCCCAGTCTCCTGAGGCCCTGCACTTCCTGTCAGATCTGGTTCCTTCTCAGAAAGTACGGTCTTATTTACGCATTGTGATTCTAAAAAGATTGCTTCGTTTTCTATCTGATCAGATGTAACAACACTTGTCCCATTATCTAAAACGTCTATGGAAGAATTGATAACATTATTGTCTCTTTTATCAGTGTTGTACGTCTTCATACAGTCGTTAGAATAAGTCATATCTGTGCTTGTTTCTACAGATTCAGCAGCTGTTGGTCTTTGTGTTGCAGGAACTAGACTTGTAAATTTGTGTAAAATCTTACTGTGTTCAGTCTCAGTCATTTCAGTTATTCTTCCATAACTGTGGTCTGTTTGTACACATGGCAATTCTTCATTTGGTCCAGACACTGATTCCTCAGGCTTAGCTTTGGTAGATAATTGTATGATGCAAAGGGCTCTGTCAAGGCCATCCCTCACTCTAAAAGAATCTGTATTTCTACTACCAATACTTGCCTCATCAGACTCTGTGACTGCTGTCTGCATCAGGGGGGCTGTGGACTTTGATTCCTCTGAGCACACTGTTGAAAAGGCACTTGTGGAGATGAGCTTGGCTTTTTTGAAGGGTGGGTCGGATGATTCACTGGAGTCTGACAAAGGAGAACTGGGCCTTGAATTATTTCCTCCGGGTGAAGTAGAAAGTGTTTTCTTTGTCCGCATTACTGCTGTTCTTTCTGGTGAATTGCATGTGTTCAGGACAGTTGCGACTTTGGATGCCATGGCATCTCCATCTTCATCCAACTTCCGAATCTTAGAGTCAGACTCTGGTGGCGATGATTCCCTCTTTGAGGCAGGCATTTCTATCAAAACACAAAGGTCAATATGTGAATATATATTTCTGCTTGAGTTGCTTAGGTAAACACACAGCAGGCGCTGGCTAACAAAAAACGTAAACAGTAAATAATGCGGGCAGTAAATCACAGTATTCCGTCTAAAACAGCTCACTTTTAGGCAAACATTGTCACACATTGTATTTGCAGCGTTTGCGTGCACATATTGCTGTCAGTCAAAGTTGTGCAGAAAGTGAAAAGATGAGTTCGCTAGCTCCTATGCTAGCACTGATGGAGCTAGCGTTAGCAGCAGCTCGCAACAAATGATCGAAAAGCCTCCAGCGCGGGCACATGACCGAGCTGCTTCCACCGACACAAAAACACTGCTGTGCACAGTCCGAGTCTCTACAACAAGAGCAGATCAAGACCAGAGCGAGAGGACAAATCACACAAACTCACTGATGTTTTCCTTTCCAACGCCAGCTGTGTTTTTTTCTTGTGAATAAAAAATGGGCTGTACTTCCGGAGGAGGAAGTGACGAAATTATCTTTTACAAAATAATAACTAATATTTAGTCCATGACTAAAACAGACTCACGAATATAACTATATTAAAAACATAACTGAAATTGAACTAATTTTGCAACTATTTAAAACAAATATTAGTATTTAATCCCCAGTACCATTAGAATAATTTGTGAAATACTTTTTGTTGAATGCTTTATCACATAATATCACAAGAAAGTAATAAACACATCACTACAAATTAAAATACTTTTATACATTTTGAATATACTCTCCAAATGAAAGGAGACAAAACACAAACCACATCGAACAGATACATTTTTTGGCATTTACTTTTTATTCTGTGTAGCATATTGAAGATTTCCATTATGACAAGTGACAAAGAAATGTTTTCAAAAACATGTTTTCTGGTTATAGGTAAGTTATGAAATAGGTGCAGTGTTTAGCAGAGTAGTGACTGAGAGACAACTAAAACTTGACGCAACATAAAACAGCATTAGTGTAAAAACATTGAGAGAAAGAAATACTACTTCTTCATATCCAATATTCCGCTTCCTGGTCCGCGCTTCTTTGCACTGCAGATGTTACAAAACTGAACACCAACTATCTGTATGATGAAAAACTGTTTTAGAGAATTGTGAAATATGAATGCGAAGTAAATAAATGACTTACACTTCCTGAAGACGGTAAACACTCTTTATGAAACATGTGTCTGCAATGAAACACTGTCACACTGAAGGTTCTAGTAATGTCTGACATAACAAAGCATGGAAGAACAATCTGTTAGATCTTAATAAAATGTAAATGTATAATTGCACCGATAGCAAACCTGAGGGTAGTATTGTTGCATGACATGACTCACAAATGTTGTCATCTATTAAAAAGATCACCAAAGGTCATCGACAGAACTTCCCGTTTTGTTTTCCATCGTTAACATGACTAAACTTACCATCCACTCTAACACCTCTTGTTTGTGTTCTGTGCATTTTCTGAAGAAGCGAAAGGGAGTCAGCTACCAAGATCTTCTTACAACCTTCCCTCAAGAGAATCTTAAGACAAAATAAACAATTTATATTATTTTTAATTAAGCATAAACAGAAGAACATGTTGCCGTTTTCTTACTTGTAAATTGTAATCTTGAAGAATTTTAACCAAGGAATCTCTAAGGTTTGGGATCTCCATTCCCTCTTTAATGCGGTGGATAAGCAGAATAGGATCCACATGTGTTCCGATGTTATTCAAGAGGCCTGTGATGAAGGCTGAAAACAAAGAAATGTTGAATTGATACATGGTAGTTACAACATAAAAATATATCATGACAAAGTGGCCTACGTGGTTTATCAATGGAATAAGAGATAAGATCCTCCCAGAGTTCAGCATCATCTTGTTCTTTGGCAAAGTCTATGGCCTTGTCCACGTCTTCAAGCTCCTCCATAATCATCTGCAGAGCTCTTCTACAGTTTCCCATTCGACCTAAGACAAAACACATTTACAGAGTTCTTTTATAGACAAACAGAACAGAACGTTGTAACTTACTGAGAAGGAAAACCGTTTCTTCTACAAAGCACCTCTGCTGACAAATCTCCAGAGCCTGTTAGAAACGGTAAGATGTCTAGTTGCATTACTTTTGTATAATATATAATTTTTGAATCTATTTTCTAAAAAGAACAACCATAAAACCATCTATTTGCACTACTTTATGATAAACGCCATACACCGCACCTTCTCCAGGGGGCAGTGTGTGCTGTCTCGAAGAAAAGGAAGCAGGTTTGGTCGGTCGTACTCTGCATACAGTCCAATCTGTCGCTCGTGATATTTTTGTCCTTTGTGGTGATCTCGCTTGAAAAGTTTATGAAGGTACTACAGAAAAGGATCAGGAGAATAGCTTCAGTGACTTTATTACCAGACCATAAATGATGCACTTACGCACCACATGCAGGTATTCATGTTTGTTCGCCAGCTCCTCCACCACACGGTCAATCTAAAAAACACAGAACAGTTCAACAAAATGAATTACATTTGCTGATAGATTTCATTTTACAATACTTGGAATCACAAATGTAATATTTTGAGACTAAAATCACACTCACTCTCATGCTTCTACAATTATTAGTTTGATCAGTGGAGACCAAGCAGCTAAGCAGTAACCAACAGTGCGGTTGTTTTCAGTCCAAAGAGCAAATTAAAACTTAAAATTTTGCAGTTTCTATTGTTTCAGACATGACCCAGACCCTATTGTTTATTCTCTGCAGTAGCTGATATGCCCTGTGCAAGCAATTGAACTTTTATATACATTTTCTGAAACTCAATGGAGAAAATGTATGATAATGTCACTAAAAAAAAGTATAAGATGGATTATCACTGAATACACTCACAGATATTTTGTCTTCATTGTCAAGGAGCATGTCTACAGCTTTCTGCAAGAGGAGAGAGATTACACAATGGAAGGATATTGTTTTATAAAATCATTTGTGAATATTGTAAAAGTACCTCTTTGTCAAAGTCCATAAGAAGCACAATCTTATCTTCAATGGAGGAGAAAAGGTTGTGCTTATGAATGAGTTGGTACACGTCTTTGTGCCTCAGTTTTAAATATATTTCCAAGGCTTTGTCATATCTCTGGTCATATGTGTAGCTGGGATAAAACACAAGACAAATGTTTATGTACATTTTTATGTCTGCATTGAACAAGAACAAATATCACAAACGTACAGTTCAGCCAGAGTGGTGAGCAAAGTGCTGTTAGCGGGATCTCTCTTCAGGTGATCTGTGACTGCTTGGACAATGGCCATGTTATTGTACAGTTCTCCAGGCCATTCTCTTACAAGTGTAGCAAAGCCCTTTTAAAAAAGACAAGATGGAAAGGTCTAATTCTTACTATTGGATAAATGTTGTTCTACGTTGCCCACTGTGAGATGAATTAAGGATCTCTTACCTCATAATCAGTTTTTAGAAATTCATGCAAGATCATTTCATAGATGGCAGGACGGAGACGCAGATCTCCTCTGGGTAAGTATTGGCTAATTGCCTGAAAATAACAGATCACAATGAATCATAGGATTTTACATTTAACAATTACCATCATGACTCCTACCTTTAGCTGTCCAATTGTCTTAAACCTGTAAACTTCATTCTCCCACAGCTCCATATTTTTGCCTAAAACCTTTTGACATTTTCTGTAAAAAAATTAATATTTTTTAAAAGTATTACTATGACAATAACTGCCTGGTGAGCCAGTCCTTTGTTTGAAAGGCATCTATCCTCAAATAAATGGAATCTTATTGCTGAAAACCAAATGTGTAACTTTGTGTTCAAGTTGTGCATTTTGCAAATTGATTCTTGTTTTGAAAGTAGGGTCCACATGTTTCTGTAATAATCTTAACCAGCTGTTATTATTGTTAAACTGGGAGACAGAATATGGTTCCGGGGTATTCAAAAACATGTGGTGGTTATCCAGGCAACAGGATACATTAAATATAGAATTTACTGCAAACTGGGAATACCTTGCAGCGCCGTCATAGTCTCCCGTTTCTACCAAGTGATTGATGTAAGACATCCCAATTTTCTTTACGTCGTGCCTCTTGATATTTTTGAAGCTAATTTCTGCCGCCATGAGAGCCTCCTGCCGCCACAATAACAGGACACATGTTACTGGTTTATGCAACAGCACAAACATTGTTTTGTTAAGTATAAACATCGATGCAAACCTCATATTTCCTCTTTTCAAGCAGCCAATCGATATGGTCATCTTGGTCTCGCTCCTTGGCCACAACAATGTCTTTAGGGCTGATGATGTAGAAGAGCGACTCTCCTTCAGAATGCTCTGTGAATGAAAACACATGGAGTTCATGGCTGACATTCTTCAGTGCATAATAAAATCCCAGCACACACTATGGATGAATCAGAAGTCTCTACATGTGTGTTATACCCAGTGTGTAGTCCCTGCACTCATTGTTTTTGAAGTCGCGCACAGTCAGAGCATCGGAGGAGATCTCCTCACATCCTTCAGGAAGGGGCTGGATGATGTCAAGACGAGGCCTTGCACGAATGTCTTCATCCTTCACAAACACATCATAGGTTTAAACATCTCATTTCAACAGATTTGAACTATTCTTGAGTGTGAATGATGCACCATGTTCTCAGAGCTCTCCTTCACAAAGTACAGTGAAACCAGCTGATCTGCCAGAGGCGCCAGGCCACAGATGAAGAACTCTGTCTCGAAAGCAGAAACTGAACACAGACAAGTAAGAATTATAATTGTTTTTAAGTGTTAAAGGTTTATAAAGATGGATTGTAATGATTAAAACATGAACATTTAAAACTCTACCTATTTCTACATAGCGGCTGGGAAGGTCTCTCATTTCAGTGGGATTACGCTCTTTTACAACACAGATCTAAAACAAACAAGGTAAACAGATTTCAGTTTAGGACCAGATTGTTTATAACTTTAAGTAATGATATTTCAAACACAAACCTTTACAGAGGATCCCCATCCCACGATCAGAGTGGTGTCATCTTTCCAGCAGAGACTACATGGGTACATGTCAGGCCTCAGGCTCACATTGTCCCGCAGTACATTTGTAATTCTTTGTTTAGTGCCAATGTCATATATTTTCACTCCCTAGAAAAAAAAGTGAACGACATAGAGAAAAATAGTTTGGTTGACAATGTTTTATTTCCTTTCAGACCTCAACTTTCCTTCTCCATATAATCTTTATATATTTGTGTTTAACAAATAACATTCTCTGTGTTCATAGAATATTGAACATTTGTTCTACCATATTAAATGAGATGGTAACTTACTAACTGCATGAAAACAGACACTTACCACATTGTTGGCCCATGCGATAAGGTTCGTCCTCCACTGAATACTGGTGATAGTGCCCTCGCCTTCATGAAGAACCGTCGTCTTCCAACGATTCAACCAGTTTTTTTCATATAAAAGTAGCTGCGCAGAAATAAATACTTTTATTATTATATAATTGAAAACTCTTTCTACAATGTAGTTGCGCCATTCAACCCACAGAGGGCAGTGTGTCACAAAGAATAAATACAACTCTCTGCTGTTTGAAGGCCAGTTGTTTAAAAGTTACATTTATATAGCATTATAAAATGAAATTGATAATATATTGATATTTATATTAGATACGCAATTTACTCTAAAACTAATAAAATCTTTTTTTTTTTTTCTTTTTTTTTTATCAAAACACCAGTCAAGCTGTTCAATATTGTATGTATAGAAATATCTTTTGGGGGTATTGAGTAAACAATTCAACAGTTTTATTTGTTCTATTGAAACGAGATTCCTCAGACTGAGTCGGTTTTCACCTTTCCAGCTCTATGTTGCTCCATAGAACACAAAGGCTAAAAGCCATTAAAGTGTATAGAACATTAGTGCAGATGAAAGGAGTAATTCAGCAGTTGGGATATATTAATAAACAGTTTCCTTTACAAAGAGACAATATGACAAAAGAACTGTGGAGACAAAATTGAATTTCCTTTGACAGGATGTGGCTCCCGTTGAGGCTTATTGATTTCCATCACAGGCACCTTGTGGAGGCCTTCACAACTTGTACCTGAGAGAAATCAGCGCCAATTGAAAGAAAATGGCAAAGTAACACTACAATGGGGTTTCATAAAACTTGTTTTTCCCGACCCCACTTATATAAATGTCAGTATACTTTTCAGGGGCAAACTAGAAATGATATCATGTTAATGTTGTTTATTGGACTGTGAAAATACAAAAAAGTTCAAATGAAGCTAAAGCGGAAGTTCAGACAGGAAGACTGGTGACCTTATTCCCCTGAAGACACTCTCTGACCCGCTTTCACTCCAGGCATCTCTGGAGCTGCTGTCATCACTACAGCTCAGTTACACACCTGTGCTGCCAATCAATGTGCATTTAACAAGCGCCTTGCTGCATCTAACAGCTTAGCTAGTGTCACAACCCTCCTCCTCCCCATAACAGTGGGACGTCCACTCGTCATTCATCTTTTTATCATCTATCATATTATCTATTTTAATGCTATCTTATTTTGTTCAGCACTTTGAGTTGCCTTGTATATGAATTGTGCTATACAAATAAACTTGCCTTGCCTTCTACCTCCAGGGTCTAGTCCTCCGGGTCTAAGAGCTCAATAAACATTTGTTTCTACATTTAAATGATTAGAGCTAAGACCTATGTTGAACATGGAAAGCTGTGGTTTTCCCCCGTAAAAACACTGTTATGTCCTTTGTGGATGAGTCGGAGCTTTAGTCAGAGAAGTCGTATGTATACATGTATTATAACTGTTTATCAGCCTAACTTGATTAAAAAAAGTTTGAAATATCTTTTTTACTATTAATATAAAATGATTTCACTCTGAACCCATGCGACAAACCATGCAGTGTGCACAAGAGGCACTGCTTTCAACACCAGGGAGTAAAGAGCAGTTTGTGGAAATGGGCATCTCCTGAGAGCACTTCAGCAAAGAGACTTGCGCCCCACACAAAAGGCTACACATTTCACTTTCAGCTGGACAATATCTTGACAAATTACAGTTGTTGAAGTGTACAATAATATTCTATGTACCTTATTTCCTCCCGTAACAAACTGCTTGTAGTTAGATCTGCTGAACTGCGGGTGTAAAGCTACAACCTGCAACAACAACATGAATGTAGCTAGAGTTCAAAGACGCCTCAGACAGTATGTAAGTAGGAACAGGTGAAGAGGGCTCACTTTGATAGGACAGTCAAAGTTCTCATGGAAGCCTTCTCTTGTATACAGGCCAAACACTTGCACCTGTAACAAAGACAAAACAAAAAGAACTGAAGGTGAATAACTGAAAATGTCTTATTTAATTGCTGCCTCTGCAACTATCAGGGGTCAGCGGGGGGATTGCGGTCAGAAAAGAATTTGATTGGCTCCCTACTTTTCCACTGGGTCACCAATTAGTGAACAAGTTGATTCTTTGAACCCTGCAGGGTTTAGAAACACGGGTCCTAATCTTAGACTAGACCACAGCCTCAGTTGGCTACAGCAAACCCAAGACACCATTAGAGTCCAGGACACACAGCTTTGCCGTTTCTGAGGCTGAGAATGAACCGTTACTTCAATTACATAGTTTCCTGATGATTCTTATTTTCGTACCTGCTGCAGCGGCAAAGGATAAGGTTAGATTTTTGTGGATTAACAACCAAGTGAATTGGTGAGAGCAAACAATCACTGTAAAGCTCCACTTTTTTGGGCGACAAGATCTTGTTTTTATGCCACCAAAGTGTTCAAAGTGGGGGGAGGGAAGCTCATATCAGAGAGCATATCTTAGCTGTAAAATCCATGAAAGATGTTGGTAATGATGAGGAGAGACAAGATAACAGCGGAGTGGAGAACAGCCATCAGAGTATCCATGGCTGATGGATGACTGACAGCTCGACGAATATGAGCACAAATCATCCCCTCACTTTTCAAAATCGCTACTGCTTTTGATAAATTCCTGCATCATGAACAAAATAAGGATAGATTTAAGATAAAGCCCCTTCAAATAATCTCTTGTCGGAATCACGAGCAAGTTGCACGCTATTAGCATAACGCTGGCCGCAGGTAAGTGAATTGTCGTCTAAAAGGAGAATTATGAAAGATGGAAAATAGTGATGGCCCAAGGATCAGTGCGCAGCGATGATGAGCCGGGAGATCGCACCTTCCCATCCTCGGAGCAGATGCCCACATGCTCCCCGCTCTCGTCCAGGCTGATCTGGTTGATCTTCACCGAGCTCTGGAGGCACACAATATCACACCATCTCTTTAGAGCTGTTTATGGCTCTACCAAGTCAAATGGAAAGGTTCAATATGCAGTGGCTGTTTGGCTTCATATTTGTGTAGATGAAGTGGTGCGGATTTTTGCATAGTTATGACTGAGGCGTTTGGAAAAGCCATCCGCAAACATGATAATACTGACTGATCACATGTACACAAATACAGGCGGCTAAATGGGCTTGGTACTTACTATTATAATATTAATTCAAATCAAAAGTGGTGACTAAAGTGATTTAATATTCACTTATCTACTATTTACTACCAGTTATCTACTATTATGGTTAAATTATTGATGGGAATATAATTTAAAAATGATTAATAAATAAAGCAAGAATGGATGGACAGATTATTTTACTTAAATAACACTTTAAAAATAACAATTCCTACAATGAAGTTATTATGGATATTACTAGCATTACCACTAATATTTAAATATATTAGAATCAATTCTCATATAATCAATTAGCGGTTGATCAATATGCTTTTCAGAGCCAATAAAAATATATCAATAATGGATAATATAGATGTCAATAGTTTGAATAACGTAAAGTCAAATCCTTTGTTTAACTTTGAGAAGCATGTTTATTCAACAAAACAAATAATACATCAAACTGTATAGACTGGATGTGATGTGTGCTAGCTTGTATTTGATTTTATTCAAATTCAATGTCCTGTTATTTAAGTTAATTACCACAGAAATAAACCAAACTAAACTAACCGTACAGATTACAGTGTGTAGGACTGTGTTACAACATGAGTTTTGTCATTGTTGGCTGGATCATTCTCATAATTTGACCATCCAGACACCGAGATTACTACACTGATTAGCTTTCCAACTCAACGGAAATTATGGCTAAAAACAAACCACTCATTGGCCACGAGACTCTTAACATTGCCTTTCTGAGTGAAGTTTCTGCTTAGGTTTCCTCCGGGTACTCCGGTTTCCCCTACCACTAAAAACATGTGCAATAGTTCAGGGTGAATGAGAGTGTGTTTGTGAGTGCGAACGTGGGACAACGGATGCAAATTTGCCCATGGCCAAAATCCGGAGTGATGTGTTCATGAACATGTACTGTCCCAACCAAATAAACAAGAAATAAATATATTGTGTTGTACAGTATGTATTTGCCTGCCTATGGACTAAGGGTGAAAACTAGCTTTGTCGCCATAATCCAGCATTTGTTTTATGTGCATTGTCCCAACCAAATAAACAATAAAACAAAAATATTGACTCATTATTTATATTATACACTATATTGACCAATAATCGGTTGATCCCTATCCATCAATCCATGACATTCTTCTTTAATCGTACATTTTGTCTTTTGTATCTAGAATATTTCTTTGTAAACAAGATCATGCAAATAAGAAATGCTGAACAGACTATAATGAACATAGTACTCACAATCTCAAACTTTTGGGTCATGTTTCCCTGGATGTCCAAGAGGAAGACTTTACCAAAGTGTGTTCCAAGAGCGAGGAACTGTGGAGCAAAACATCATGTAAATAAAGTCGATGCAAAACCAGTGATGATTAGAAAAAAACATGTGTTAAATAAAAGTGTGCAAAAGGAGATGCATATATTCTCTGAGCTGGAGTACCAGGGGCATGTGGGGATTGGGTGGGCTCAGAGGCAAAACTGTGAAATTGCAGAAAGTGGAAAAGACCTATTTATTAAAGCAGGCACTGTGAAATGGCATTTTTTTTTCTTTTGAATTAAAACGCTTAAGCATAATAAATGCACTGTACGCCCGAGTTTTTCCTGTGCTAGCCATGCAATCCAATCTAACCCATGCCCAACATAGAGCTATTATTTTGTCTGAGCAGCAACTGGTTTCTGTGTTCTGCACGGGGCAGAGATGTGTGAGTGTGTGTGTGTATGTATGTTTCCCGCTGGGACAAAAAAAATTATAGAATCTGGGGGCTTTTGGCATTAGATTAAGTGTGTGTTTCTCCGCCCAGCCCATGCTCTCCGCCCTGCTCCTAATCCCCCACCCTCATAGACCGCCGCGTGGATGTGCGGCTAACCCACCATGCTTCAGTGCAGTCTATAATGAAATGCTTATATTTACAGGCACAGTTGAGCATGTCAGACAGAGCCTCCGCAATCTCCCAAATAAAATAACCAAAAATAAATAAATAAAGGGTTCAGCCTTGTGAGGCGGAGCGACTTTTAAAGGGATTTATCAGAATGGAATTGTTCAAATGAAATTCTGATTCAAACACTTAAAATATGAGGCAACATAAGGCAATATGTGCTAGAGGCTGCTTTAAACGTGGTGGGAGTTTGCCATTTTGAAAACTGGTGGGACCACACAGGTACTTAATGCAAAATATAGATAAGAATGATAAAAACCACAATCATTGTTAAATCACTGATTTCAGAAACATAGTCAGCTGATAGTAAACTAAAGTATACTAGAAAATACAAAGAAAAGAAAAGAAAATACATATGAATCAATACAACATCAGGTTAGGAAACAGAGCCAACGAAACGAGGGATCTGCTCAAGAATGCAAATAACTGGTGTTCAGAATATCAGCCAGAAGGATGCTCACAAGTGAGTGATAGTGGGAATACTGATATGAGAAGACAATGGGGCAGGTGAGCTCCTTGAGAGGACAAGTGAGAAGAGAATGGTCCCAAATGTGTCCATAAACCATGTGCTGGAGAGTCTTGGTGCACCTTGTCATGGACGGTCATACAGCTGGCTGCATCCTTCTGCAGGATCTCAGTCACACCGTTTGCGAGCCTCTCGTACTTCAGCTTCGGCTCCTCCTCACTCTCTTCCTCCTGTGGGATTGTAAACATTAACATTACACAAGACATTTTCTGTGTCTTTTATAAGATTAATATAAACAGAGCGTTTCATTTTACACAATGTAAGTCATGAAGTATTGAGGCTATTATTAAGTGCAAAAAATAGGTTGAATAACAGATCTTGTTTTGTGGTTTTACAATGTACTTAGTGCCTTTTAAAAATCAGAGATACATTTCAGGTATCCTATTGTGCAACTGTTTCAAACCATTTCTACACTATATGTTTGCCATGTTACGGGATATACAATACAAATATCCATAAAATTGCCCAAAAATATATAGCATAAAGCACCGTTTTAAGACAGGGTACATCCCTGGCGTAATATATTGGTTTTGTCTGTTCATAAAGAAAACTCAGGGCATTTCACAATGTTACACGTTTTTGTATGAGCCAACATTTGCGGCCAGTCACAGCCTGAATATTACTCATAATTCAGTTTATAACCAATGCTGCACAGTCTGGGGCTGCCCAGAGGGTGCATCAACTCAAAACATTGTCTGCCATTATGTGCTACTGGGTTGGAGGTGGGGGACAATAGCGTGGAAAAAATGTTATTTTCAAAAACAATCCTTTCCCACTCAACAACGCCATATCTAGGCTATTTCCTGTGTATTCTGGTTGTGAGATTTCTGATGCGAGGGCATTTGTCACGGGTTTCAAAGGCGTATCAAACAACAAAGCCAAACTTCATCTCTTGAGAAAAACTACCCATTTTTCAAACTTTTGCCATCTTGTAACTTGCCCTTTGTTTTGTCACACACAGCTGGTCGTTGTAAACATAGAGTCTTGACCTGCTGTGACCGGAGACACTGTACACATGGATGCATTTTATACCAAATGAATCATGTATATTACATAATTAAAGCAAAGTTTGTTACACTGTCTAGCTATAGACCTATAGAAAATATAATAAAGATACCAATTAGGTTTGTCTACTGCATTTTCAAAAATAAAGGATCATACTTATTTTCAGAATATGAAAAGATGACATAATTGACAAAGATATATCAAAATTAAAATAGATTACTAATGAGATAGAATAGAATGTGATAAGAAAAAACAAAACAAACAAGTGAAACATATTCTACATGTTTAAAAAAGACTTGCTTAACATTTTATTAATTGCATACTTTACACATACAAGAATCATTTGGCATTAGACACAAACACTGGCTTCTCCCTCAGTCTTCCAGGAAACAAGGTTCCCCAACTTTCATTAACTACCAGTGTGAACATTTTTTCACTGCTGTTTTCTAATATTTCATTCGATTCTACAATGTCTTTTTTTTTCTAAAAAAGACAAACTCCCCTTCCTGCCAGGCTGATGTGTAAGTTATATTTTATTTAGCCTACTTGTGATTCTCTAAAGCTCTGGTGTACTGTATACCGAAACACAGCCCTAATATTGATGGATCTGGAAAGCCATCTGTAATTCATGAGTGTCTGACACCTTTCAAAATCCTGACAAAGATCCTTGTGGGATCAAGTTGTGTTGATAAAGGTTGGTTCTTTTACAGTCCTAGTGGTAAGCAGTGGGGTCTGGGCGCAGAAATCACCAGTGCATGTCAGAAGAAGCAAACCTCTTATAGACAATATGTTAGGGTTAGGGTAACATTACATACTCTGGTGCAACTTTACAATTATACTTTTCAAACAGAAGAGAGAGGAAAGGGGTGGCCCACAGAGATGAAATCATACCTCAGACTCATCTGTAAACTCCTCACTTGATTTTCCTCCCTGAATGAAAAGACAGACAAGTCAGTATTTAGTAAAAAATGACTACAATAAAAAGCACGCAAAGAAGTTAGCATCAACAATTCAATTCGTATTAAATACACAGTGGATGCTTTAATCAGCGTGTTGTAGATGAATGTATAACACATTTACAAGGCACTATGACGCAGACATTTGTTGTGACAGTTAGCATTGTTAGCCTGTTAGCTTTCCTTACCTGCTCCTGCACTTCCGCCATTGCTGTAGTCCTTTAGCAAATGCGATGTCGTGCAAAAAGATATTAAACTATTAACTCAAGTAATGGCACATGTCACGGTGTCTACTGTACAACATACAGACAATAAACCACAACACTGTTCACGTCTAGTCACATAGTCATAAGCTAATCACATGACAGGTAGAAGCAGGGCATTGTGGGAGATGGAGTCTTTCTTGCATTTGGCGCGTGCTCTGTCTGGGGCGAAGTGACTCACTAAATCTTGGTATTTCTTCCATGACTGAGGGCATTATTCCAATTGTGTTTCTATTTATTTAATGATGGTCAGGTTAAGGTTAAGAAAAGTTAATTTGTTTAAGGTTGAGGTTGAGCGTGAGGTAAAGATTAGCTTGCGGAGGAACGAAATACCAAGATTTTAGAAAGTCCTCTGGCGAAGGTATTTAACGACTACAGTAAGGTGAGCCGTGTGTTTATGTGTAATATATTATGTTTTTATGACGTATTAAACTTAAATATCCTTGACACGTGTACAGCATCTTTATTTTTTTTTTGCTTAATTAGGAGCCCTGCTTATTTAACACCTTAGAAAAAATAGGTAGAAAATCAAGACATCCCAGAATGTTTAATTTGACCATAACTATTTAATTCAATGTATTGTTGTATTGCCCTAAATAACAACAGTAGTCTTTTCGGGGAATTTACAAACAGATCAATGAGTAATACATCTTTACATCCATGTTTTATTCACATTAACAGCATATAAGAATTGGCAATATGAATGATAATAATACTTCTGCATATAAATGTGTACTTAAAACTGCTCATTATCCTTAATGTGTCAAAAGGCTTGGCCCCCACTTTCTTATCTGTGTGCTTTCAGATATTCCACACCACAGTTATGGCTCATGGCCTTTCACCAACAGTTTGCCAGGGTCCAACTGAGTGCCAGGGCTGTGATTGGCTTCTTCTTTATTGAGATTGTCTCACACCCCCATCGCGCCCCATCCATCCTCGAGAGAATCCTAATGTACTGATACGAAGAAGGATTTTTTTTCTTTACAATCTAGTTAGCAATGATTTATTGATTGTAGCTTCCACCGTCGCAGAGAATTACCGATCCTTTTTGGGAAATCAGATTTTCACACCTTTCATGTGTGTGTATGTGGCACAGGTCTCTGGAGGTAATACGAGGGAAACTGACTTTGAGGAGCAGCTCTGTGTGAATCTCTACGGCATCACTCTACTTCCACTGCCAACGGTTTGTCCAACTGCTCATGTCATTTTCCTGGTCTCCATAGTTTTGCATTATTCATTGAGAGATAAATAGACACTGTGCAGGTATTTTAATATGTTTTTATTCTTCAAAAAACACGGCTCACTTAATAGTATTGCCAGGCCGCTCTGAGGTATAAGCATTTCATAAAAAAGGAAAATAATAAAAAACAACCCGTGCCCTCATAGGAGGAGTCAGATTAGTGCGCTGAAAGCTTTGATGCTGCAGAATGTCAGGTCGGTGGATCGATCTAGCAAAAAACAGGCACACACACCTGACCAATCATAGGCCTCTCTCTGTAGCGGACCTGCTGGGCACCATGGTTTACAAGCTTCAAAGAGCTCCTTTTAATACACTGCTTTGATAGCCCTCAGCCCTTACTGACCCACCACCGTCCACTGGGATCGTTTTAGCTTCTGCGGATTCAAGAGGGATAACTGCTCATCATATTAATGAGCATCTGAATTCTAACGTCTAACTCTTCATTTGATGAAATCTTACTCAAGAGGCTGTTGCTGCTTTCTAGTTTACCTAATTAGCATCTAGCCTTTGGCTTTCATTTATTTCACAAAAATGTGAATTTTTTTTGAATATTGTGTTGAATTGGCTAATAGTTTTATTTATTTTCTTAGCGTTAATGTTTATTATCAAGGTTTGATTTAACTAATTAACTAATATGTAATTAGATCCTCCTCACTTATTATCAATATTATAATAATATTGTAAATAAACAGTGAGATCTTAATTAGATTTACATAATTATACCATAACTGCTTAAATTATATAATGTGATAGAATACAAACAAATTAATACTATTCTTATAATTTCATATTTAAAAAGCTTTCTATTGTTTTTATATTCAATACAAATGTAAATTATCTAAGTGTTAAATACATTAAAAGTTAGTTATTGTTTGTTTCTTTATCTTTTCTCAGGACATGGACGTGTCAGAGGGGTCTCTCACTGTCACTCTCAGCCTGGGGTCCGGTGGACGTAGTGGGTAAGAGCAATAGCTAATAGCATGGGTATCAGATGACGTCTGGGACGTTTTACCAGCCGCTAATTCTGGGTCATTGGGGGATTCTGGATGGAGACAACATCAAGTGCTTTTTCATGTTTCTGCAACCTGTTCCTGTGTGTTTGCCAGACAAGAGAAACAAAAACCTCCATTATTTTCCTCTTTCTTCTTTCACTTTCTTTGTCATTCATAAATACCTAAATAGAATGCTTTTAATATAACTTCTATTCATGCAACCATATTATAATTATTTTGATTGTATTACTACGAACAAAACTTATTTTTTGAGTCAGTTGTGTATGGCACTATACTTTCTAGTAAATAGAAACATTTGGTTTGGAAAGAACACTTGTTTTTTACTCTATATGAACAAGATAATATTATCATTGGAATATCATAATGAATACTGGTCCCTGTTGTTGGCACATCAGGTAATTAAGCAGCTGTGTACAATAGTGAGGAATGTTGTGGCCTTTTATCCTGGAGCCTCACGGGCCAGAGGAAGATTAGAGCTCTGATCTCATTCCCAGTACTTGTTTGGAGTCTGTCAGGAAGAGAAATGTCAGCATTAGAGAGGGAGCGCCATTCTCCTGATATGATGAAATAAGGAGAAAAGGGGAAAGGGAAAAAGATGGAGGGATGGACAGAGAGGACCGTGCCCTTCTCTGAAGTGTCAAGAGCTTGTTTATTCTATTTTTCATTGTAGCTGCTGGGCCAAAGATTCCCATTTTTCCTTTATTTGCCCCCTCCTAACAAAAACCACTGCTCTCATTTTTTATAGGGCTTATAAACTCTTGTGCCCCAGTGTAAATTACATTGTGAAACGGTAGAAATTTCAGGCTATCTTTGCTCGCTGCTGTCCCTCTGAGCTTTCAAACAGTCACAGACTGTGAAGAATAAATAATAAAAAACTATTGATTATTTTGATGACTGCAAGATTCAATTAGGTATTAATTTTGCCCTCCAGTGGACCTATCAAGCCACTGATAGGAGAGGTGGGGCAGAAACACATGCTTGGCACAGACAGAGGGGATGCGTGTTTACCTCACAGAGCAGGGGCAGCATTGATGTGCTTTGCACCATATTTAAGTGCAGCTCAAATCAAGCCCTGACCACTAGTCACATTGTTACCAGGGATATGAGTATTGACCAGTCAGCTCACGGTTTTAACGACAGCTTAAACTATTTTTATTGATTAACATTTTCATAGATTATCATGTGTCATATCAAAGTGGGCTGATTCTTGTGACAAGAGCATTAAAAAGGCCCCTCTGGGCAGGAACTCATCGACCACACTTATGGAATTGGCTGGGTGAGTACGGGGGTGGGGTGATAAGTGCAGGGGCAGGGGCTGGAGAAGACCCTCTCTTTGTGCCTGAGCCTTTCTAGTCACCTGTGCTCTGCTCAGACATATTTAGGTTGGAGCCGTTTCATAAATAAGGAAGATTGTCCCAGAGCCTGAGGTGAGACAAACACTGTCGGAGGAACTCTCCATAAGAGAGAGGGGAGAGAGAGGAGAGAAAGAGGAGGTGACATCTCTGACTGTCTCAGGAAGCTTCCTCAGGCTTGAACCTGTGCTGCCCATTCACATCCATGAAGCTGAGGACGCACTCTCTCAACAAATAGTTTTTAGCATGGTTTAACCGCTGTTTTTCCTCACTTCTATTTTGGACATTTTAACACTTTTTCTCTATATTGACAGGAGCTTTTTTAGGTAAGTATTCTATTTGTTATTATAATGATAAATATTATTATTATCATTATTATTATTCTATCTCATTAATATTAACTTATTCTAAGTTCATAATAATGAGTATATGACACCCTTCAAAAGCCTTGTTAATACAAAAAATGAAGTAATGTTAGTATTTTTGGGCACATCACTCAGCACCCATGTTTTTGGTTTCAAATATCATCTCTTGTTGTGCTAGCTGTCTATCACAGAGACTGAATTGTTCTAATAACTGGTAGGATCTTAACATGTTTTCTGACCATGTCACAAGTTTGTCATGGTGCATTTGATCTGTTTAGTCAAAGCACAGGACAATGCTCTTGTCAGATACTAATGAGCCTTCAGAGATGGATGTATTACAGTTTGGGGACGCAGGCTATAATGGAAAAGCCATGCGATCCGTAACAGTTCTTCAGCAGGCAGCAGTATCAGCGGGGTAGCACCAGCTCCAGATAAAAGGCAGCAGCGTGGAGGGAAGAGAGGGAGGGAGGAGAGAGAGGAGAGTGATGACTGAGCCGTAGAAATGAGGAGCTGCTGGAGAGAGAGTGAGAGGGACACAGAGTAGGAGCCGGTGAGGGCGAGACACGCACACTGACCAGGCTCTTTTCTCTTTTTTTCTTCCCTTCGTGTCCCACCTGGGCAGCTCCCCGCAGGACCCCATGATCACAGGGCAGCTGAGCAAGCCGCTGCTCTCCCTGCGCAGCGACATGAGCGCGGCAGAACTCCGGGACAAAGCAGGCAGCCCCGACAGCGACCTGAACGACGAGCCCTTACTGCTGCCCTCCGACGCCCCGGACCGAGAGGGGACCCCCAGCAAACTGTTCGGTGAGTCCTGCTCTACACAAGCACATGGGGCTCCCTGCGGTCCTGCCAGGAGCCACACAAACTATCTCACACATGCCGCTAACTTTCCAGCACATGGCCACTCCAAACACACACTCACTGTTATTCTATTAAAATAGTTCAAGAGAAGAATTTTATGTTGAACTATACTGTTCATATTTGTAAAATAAGTGGTTCAAATTTACAACAGTGTTGTGATCACCTGAATATAACAAAATAAGTAACTTCTCTTTTTGTTTGTATTTCTTTTCATAATTACAGGGCATGTGGCATTGTGGTAATTGCTTTCTAAAATACAGTCATAAACTTGGAAGATATAAAATTTAAAATTACACATTTTGGAAATAAGTTGTCTATATTTGTGAATTACTAAAAATGTCAGGGTACTGTTTGTGGCTAAACAATACCTCTTTTTAAAAGTATATAATTACTTAATAAATTGTATAAATTGTTTTTGATAATAATGATGAGACAAGTGACTATTAAGAGAATTGACTTCATCTAGCCAGACATATTCATTTTAGCCATCTATGTTACTAAAATTAATGTACTTTTTATCAAACAAAACTGAATTATATAAACATTATTCCACACATTATTAGAATTATTCATTTTAATCCTTTAATTTGGAATGATCATTTTAAACACAACACGTGTGTGGCTTTTAATTTACTCTGTATTTTTGAAGTAAAAATATAAATATGTATTCTGTGGGGCCTGTTTTGGGTCTGTTTTCTTCTAATGAGTTAGATTAGATTTGCTGTGTGCAGGGGCAAGCCTGTGACTGTTTGTGCTCGCATCTCTTGAGTTTTCCAACATTATATTTGATTTACAGACTTCTCTTAGACAAGCCTTTTTCACCATTACGCATCCTCGTGAACATTGCCTCTGACCTCTCTCTTTGAATACTCTTGAGTGTCTGCTGTATGTCAGAGAGCATAATAAAAGTATATATACAGCCAGTTTACGAAGTAATTAGAAACACCACTTATCAACACGGCACAATCCCAAAAGTCAGAAGTAATAAGTGCAAATTGAGCAGTCTTTTGAATCCTCATCTGAAGTCTATCCTGAGGCAAGAGCTCCCGAAACAAGGACTGCACGATTTGTCTCCAAAGAGTTGCAATTTGGTTTAATAAGCATCAAAAGTCAGTCTCTTCTATTTGATCAGCCTACTTCTCACCCTGCTCACTTTATACGTACGATTGCTTATTTTGAAAGTTGTTTTCGGTGCCTCTCTTATGATAAAGTTGTCGGATTTGACATTCCCTGATGGTGGGCTCCGGGCAGTGCCAGCGGTTTGAAGTTTGGGGATCCACATGAGCAAACGCCTGCATCCCACTGGGAGCTGCTCAAGGAGAGAGGCTTCGGTTCTGGAGATTCTCACAGGATCCAAGCTCTCTCTATACTGCTGTTGCTTGCATTGCTGAAGTGTATGCTGTATATTGTTCTCTGTCAAAAAGAAAGTGGCATATGCTGCACTCAGAAAGGTGTAAAACTTGTTATAAAAAAAAAAAATCCTTATTATTTCCCCTTTTGTTTACGGTAAATCCTGTCTTTTTGCCTTGCCTTTGGAAAAAAATCCATTTGTTTTGGCAAATCATTCCGCTTTTTTTAACATAACTTTAAAATCATCCAAAATATGTATCTCGGAATGAAGCGGAAAAAACTGCTACAAAAGTGATTCGAACCAAAATGTTAAAATCTTTCAATGTGGAAAAATAACTGAATAACTAAATACTTTGCATGAAGCGTAAAGCTGAAACCCATGAATTGAAAGTTGAAAAATCATTCATGTTCTAAAGCATTGCTCCAGCTCTTACTATAAGTTATGTGATTGTTATTATGATGTTGTTAGGATTTCCTATTATTTGTCTTGATTGGGCATGTGTGTGATTGGAGTTTTCTGGTGTACTTCAATATTGTGATTGTTCTGCTGGGCTGGTGCCTTGTTTCTCTGAGTTGGTGGCAGTAGGAGAAGTCACTGCGGCGATCACAGTAGCGGTCATGTTTGTCTACTGTAAATTGTCCACCTTCTACACCCACCACATTACCGCGCTGGTGAAAGGGTCGTTCTGCTCCTAAAAGCTGGCAGGCTGTGCAAATACTCTTCCACTTCAGCTAACAGGGGCTACGAGGCACCACAAACATCCTGCCGTCTTGTATTTATTCCAAGTAGAAGTGGACATTAGGTGGGAAAGCTGTGGTTAGCAGGGCACGCAATTTTTTTCTCAAAGCGCAAGATGGTGTTGGGTGCGTACAGTTTCTGTCTTCTCTTCTCAAGCAAATCTCCCCCTTTCAGACATCAACAGACAAGATAATAAGACACTCAGAGCACAATTCCGTATTATATTCAGCAACCAAAGGCTCATCTCTTGTCAGTTTGCATTTACTCTCCCAAGGATGTGACGCTTCTATCATCAGGCTGTCAAAGGGAGCCCGGCTGGAACGACAGGAGCACTCATTTTATACACTTACTGTCTACATGAAATGGTCTGCACTTATACGGATTCGGCCAAAATGGTGGAACATTTTCACAAAGGTCACCCCGAGACCTCCCCTCCCAAAAGAGCAAAAATGAATCTCTCATTGATCACAGGGGGTCATTCAGAACAAAAAAAAAGTCTCACTTGAATGCCACTAGTGCTGAAATGCTATACACCTTGCTTTTAGGCTTGTCTTAAGTCTATACTTCAGATATAGGCTACGTACAGCATGGGCCGACAAACCGATCAGTTAAACATGCAGTAATTATTGTCATTTTGTGGAGAATGGAAGATCATATGAGATATTTATGAGATAATAGAATATATCTCTAAAGTGCATTTGTGGAATCTGAGGCCATTCTGTGTTAAGTATATTATAAAACCATCTTCATTGTGTCATCGAGTTAATAGTTTGGACACCACACAATCACAATTAACTGGGTGAAAAATGTGGGCGTTAAACTTTCAGACAGTAATTTAAAAGTGCAACACGTGAAGAAGAGAGTTTGTACTTGATGTAGATTGGCATTGAGTTTGTTCATTGTTTTTTGTATTTAAATGCTGTGAACTTGAATGTAATGCTCAATAGTATTTGGGCCAATATTACATTAAGTGTCTCTGCTCTCAAAAGCACACAAAGACACACGCACATCTTGCTGCAGGCACAAGTAGTTATATTATTTTTGTGTAATCAGCTTAGTGAGCAGGCTGCATGGTGGAATAGGCTGCTTACAGATTCAAAGCACCCTTTAATGTTGTGTGCTGAGGTTAAGTAATAAAATGGCACAAACTCGCTGCAGAATGGGCTGCGCTGAGTAAATAAGAGCGGATAAGGAGCGCGAGGGGCACAAGTCTCTCCGCAGGAGGTGGATCTCATTATGGGGATTTCGGTTGTCTGCGCATACGGGAAAACAAGCTTAATGCATGCCTATGAAGCAGGTGTGATACATAATGGCCCCGCGCTGCCACAGCTCCGCGATGTGCGTGTGCCACAGAGGACAGGCGAAGGATGTTCGGGACAGACACGCTCGTGTTTGTTCTTCCTCAGGAGCAGAGGTCATCAAGTTCCACGCATCCTTCAGATTCAGAAATGAAATATATGACTTAATAACAGGTATTGTTTGTGTGTGCAGAGCTAACTAGATTATTTTGTTTGAAGTATAAAAGTGTATTATAAGTTTTGTAGGTAGCGGAGAAAATAAATCGGTTTTCTGTATTACACTCCTGCTTTAAATTGGAAAATCATATCAAAAATGTCTATATTGTAGTGTATATTCTCAGTAACCAATATCAGTAATGCTTTCATGTTGAACTAACAAAGAGGCATCACATCTCCTGGCACGGACACGCTGACTGTTGTCGAGATGTAATTGAAGCTGCAAGGGTCACATTTTCGGAATAGAAATTACAGTCTTGTCTTTGACTTGTGTGGCGTGAACCAGAGATGCATCCCAGAGCCCTTGTGTCCTTCACAAGCCTTTATTATTTATAACGCTCGCTCTTTGAGCAATGACCAGTACTAATGCATAACCTTCTGTCCTTCTGGCTGATTCGCTTCCTTTGAAACCAAAGATTGAGGCTGCAGAAGTGGGTGTATGGATGAGCTGGGGTGGAGGCGGGCAGAGGGGGGAGGTGGTACAGGGCAATGGAGATCCAGGCTATCGAGAAGTTATTACGTTTTTCCCTTTATATCTGAGGATGTGGAATAACACTGTGATGCTTCTTTTCTCCAGAATAGAGTTATGGGCTTCAAAGCAATACTATTTCCTGACGTCCCTCCTTCCACTGTTTGTCTGCTCCACCAGAATAATGTGCTCCAAAAGAAGAGAGAGGGTGCACTATCTTTGAGGCTACACAATTATTTACGTGGTTCAACCTGAACCTTTTCAGGTCTGTAAATATTACAAGGAGAAAGCTTCTTGTGACTAATGTGGGACTTTCGGCAGATAAACTCACCTGTAGATAAACTGTGTTTAGCTGAGCTACACTGAGCCTTAGATCTACTGTAGTGCTGCTGTTCACCTGATGTTATCCTATAGTGATTGAGCCACAGTGCCCTTTCCATTGTTATTATAGCTTTATGACAGAAGGAGTAGGGCTGCGGGATGGGAAGGCCTTGAGGGCCAAGGGGTAGAAAGTGGGACATAGGCAGCATTAGTGGAGGATGGCCTGGGGCCCTCAGGCTGATGTGTCAGCCATGACATGTGGGTGTCTGGACCCTCACGCACACACTGCCCTCTGCCCCACCGGCCACTTCAAATGTCCTGCACTACACTAGGAAGAGGCTTTTAAAGAGCATTGTCCATTCCATTAGTTTTGTCTGAAGGTCATAAATGGGACAGCAATGTTATATGGTTGTACTGTATTTCATCTAAACCAATGAATTAATCAATTAATCAACTCGGGTACGTATGGTACATTTTGTTACTTATGTGTTGTCACACAAAACATATGAAATACTGATCACCACAGATGGTCAGTATTTGTAAATTTCTC